GAAACATGTGAATGATTTATTTTTAAACAATATGTTACTTTCATTTTCAAACAATATGCTCAACATACTTTTCTTCAACCTGCAAACACGATTTTATGTGAAGTACTTCAAAATTTAAAGCAATGACTCCAATAGGTAATCTAGGGTGAAAAATGAAATAAGCCCACTATTTTGCCTATATGTCTAGATGTTTTGGTATGCTAACAATTTGGTAGTATATTAACAATTTATCCCGTATTTCCTGATTTTTTTGCTCCCCAATGGTTGCGGAGGTAGCAGAGATCTCTGAAATTAGACAGAAGTATGTGACAGTCCTGGTGGCAGCTACTGATAACAGGTGTGGCCACACCAAGAAGGCTGAGAATCACAGAACAGCACTTCAGCCAGAGGTGCCTGGGTCTCCACCCCCTGCCTGGAAAATGGTCTTGTCATAGATGCTTACACACGTCCTGTAATGAGCCACGTTTAATAGGAGCCCATAAGAGCGCTCTAAAACAGATCCCCGCACACAACCATGGACCATTCCCCAAACAGTCTTTTTGTGGACTGCACTCATCCCAACAGGACCTGGGTGACAAGAGGTTCTGCAGAGTGAGGTGGGCAAGCCGCCTTAAGGAGGGTAGGCAGAAAGGACATGGTGAAAAGGTAACTACAGAGGAAGTCCCAGGATTGCCTTGTTCTGCTGGAATCAGAGACCTGAGAGGACCCTGCCCATCCCCAGAGGAGAGCCTGGGGAGGAGGCTGGGAGAGCAGGCAGGAGACCACTGGGCCCTCAAGGACTCTTTGGAAAACACTCCCCTTCCTAACAGACTATCATCAAAGTTGAGGGAGAAGGTGTTGTGTCTGTGGACTCCTAGCCTGGGTTTAGGACTCCAAGTGCAAAGGCTCCTAAGGAGGAGCCTACAGCCTCTCTCTGGGCAACTCCCAAGCCATTCAGTTTTTTGTTCTCTCATTCTTCTTCATTGAACACTGGAAAGAAATAGTTCCTGGCTAAACACAGCTCAGAGGATCCTGCATAGAGATTTGATGCTGGAGACCCAGGGACCCAGCCCTTTGGGGGAAGACTCCATTCCCCTATGAATGAGGACCTAGCCTTTGAAGTGACTTGAGTTATTGACTAAAAACTATGAAATATGCACCTTGGCCATGTAGAATGTTTCTGCTCTTTATTTCCCAGGGAAAAGTTTTGTTTCCAAATCAATTTTATGAAGATATAATTTATATATAAAAAATCATGTCTGTTTTAAGTGGACAGGATGATGAGTTTGGAAAGATATGTACGTGTGTGTAACCATCACCACAATCAAGATATAGAACTTTGCCATCACTCCCCAAAGTCCCTTTGTGCCTTTTTCCAGTCACACCTCTACCCTCACCCTGCCCTCAGGCAAGCACCGATCTACTTTCCATTATCACAGATTAGATTTGCATTGTCTAGAACATCATATAAATGGGGCCATTACAGTGTGTCACCTTTGAATCTGGCTTCCTTAGTAGTGTATAACACGTTTGAGACTTACCCATGTTGTTACGTTTCAGAAGTTCCGTCCTTTTATTGTTCACTAGCATTCTGTTGTATGGATGTACTGCAGTCTATCCATTTACCAGTTGATGGACATATAAGTTGTTTCCAGTTTTTACTCTTAGGAATGAGGCTACTGTGAACATGCATGTATGAACAAACAATTCTGTAATTGTAGTGAGTTCAATAGACAGAGCAGCTTGGCAGATGATAAACTGACTGGCCTTTGGCCCAGGGTGGGGGAGGGATGGGCATGGAGAGGAGTCAGGTTGTTGATAGAGCCGAGTTCCGAAGAACAACTGGTTTTGCAAAATGCAGTGATAGTCAAAGTTGGGAAAAAAAAATGCCTGTACTGAGCAGAGAGGACTGCTGATCAGGCGTCTTTGAATCGTATGGGAAAAATGGATTGCAACATCACTGGCAGGACAGAATAACACATACACTTCGTTGTTTTCTTTTGAATTGGAGCCAGTAGACTCAAACCAATTTCTTCTGGCTACTTCTTCAGGATATGTGTGAAAGCCTGTCCCGTCAGCAGGGACAAAGAACCCCATCTCCAGAGTTAGAAAGGCAACTCGTTGTGGGACCTTGGGCAGGGATGAGTAACCTGGGCTAAAAAGACTGCCTACCTTAAGGGCTGTTAGGATTAGATGAGAATCTATATAAATCACTTAGCAAGAGTCTAGTGAATAAAGAGGGCTCTGTAGGCATAAGTTACAGTATTATGTTTAAAAATCATGTAATACCTTTGGCTTATCATAGAATCCAAATATATTTCTTAGGAAGTTGAAATATATTAATGTATTTTTAATAACATGGTGAATTCTTCCTATATTATTTATACAACCACTGAAGGATTGAATTATTAATCAAAATCTGGTTAGATTTTAGCAGCACATCATCTCAATCGCGAAATCCCTCAGTGGCTTCAGCTTTGGTGCATTTCCTTATGCAGCAGCTGTCTAGTTCCAAAGCTCCCACCAGGTGCTTCTCACACCGGAAGAGTGGAGTTTGTTAGTAACTGGTTGGTGAGCACTTCCTCAGGAGCTTATTGGGGGCGGGCGCGCAGCGGGGCGGGGGGGCCGCGGTGGCCAGCAATCTATTCCTGCAATCTTAGAGGTGCTCACTGCATCTCCACATCCTCTGAAAGGTGCCCCTGTGGTGGAGTGGGAGGGGCAGCACTGGAAGCTCAGGATTTGGATTTGAATCCAGACTATATTGCCCCCACCTCCAATCCCCAACACACTTTCAGTCTCTTCCTATCCAAACTTCGCTGTCCTCATTTCTGCTACGGGCTAACAGCACCTCACTAGGCTGTCGCAGAATTTCATGAAATTGCAGTGCCAAGCCCAGCTCAATGAATGCTTTTTAATTCCATGCTTTATCTTACAGTCTCTCTTATTTCCCACCATCTCCAAAGTCCACTGGCTGCGTATAACTCAAATAAAACGGAGCTGCTTTAAGGGGTGATTCGGGAATCTCCTTGTAAATAGTCGATACTGTAAAAGCTGCCCTGAATATTCCAGAAAGGGTGGAGCTCAAGTTAGCTCCTGGGTTCGAAGTGGAAGAGGTAATCTTTGTTATTAGAGCCACCCGCGTGGTCTCGGGTTCAGCGCGGTCCTTGCCCTGCCTATGCTTCCCTCCGCTAGGACCCAGGGCTGGGCTTGTTGCTCCAACTCCAATTCTCCATCCCCTTCCTGTCCGCCCACCCACTCCTAGAGCCTGGCAAACCCCTGCCCGCCGCAGCGCCCATTGGCTGTTTAGCTTTTATTGATCTGGGTGGAAAGCGTTTCAGGCTTCCGGTGCCGGCACCAGGTGCTGACCGTTTTGCTTTAGGCTATGTGAGAGGAACAGGTTTTTCCTCTTCCAGGGACCGGTGCGGATTTTTGCTGGCTGCGCAGGCCCCCTCCTTTGGTTGGGCCGGGTCCTGGGGCTCCCGCCCGTGCGCGCCGGGCGTCCTGCGGGCTGAAGTCTGCACGGGCAGAGCCCCACGCGCTACTGTCCACCTGCGCCTTGCGGCGCAAGCGGAGGGAATGCGAAGGCTGTCGCCCTCGACTTTTGCCCTCCTTTCCCGTGGTGCTCGTGTATTGACCCTCCAGGGGACTTCCCGCTGGAAAAAGCCCCCAGGGTGAACTCCGAAGTCGTTGGATCGGTTAGACTGGAGGATCAGTGGGCGTTTGAATGCCCGCGTGCTGCTCCCATTGGAAGAGCGCAGGCCCGGCCCACCTGAACTGCCGGTTTGGCCAAAGGCTGGCTCAGGTGCTCGAATCCCCGTTTTATTTTCATTGGCAATTACGTCGAACCCAGGTGGCTTCTTAGTGTTCTAAAGAACACTGCCAGTACTGTTTTTCCTCGTCTTCCTTACCCCAAAAGAAAAAAAAAAAAAAAGAAAGAAAAAAAAAGAAGGCGGCATTACAGGAAAAATTCTGCCTTAAGATGTGTGTGTGTGTGTGTGTGTGTGTGTGTGTGTGTTTTACTGCTGCCCTGTAGTCGTGCATGGCTGTTTTGAAATTGCATATTTATTGAGGAACGAGGTGAAAAGCAAAATCTAGAGGGACCTGGGAATTTTTTACTTTGTGTATGTATTTGGACCTTCCGAATTTTCCTTTGAAACACAAGAGTAGTTAAAGAAGATGTTATTCTAAGTAGCACTAAACATAGATGGCTTTAAAGAAAAATTTGAAAAGTAAAATCAGTTTTTGTTGGGATGAAGGTAACAAAAACTCATATTTCATTTTCATTTAGAAACTCTGGGCTGTTATCATTTTGGCTTGTAGTTCCATAATGTACTTACTACTAAAGAGGAGGGGGGAAACCTACGGATTTTCATAGTTTCTCTCCCCAATTCTGTTTCATTTTCCAGTCCAGAACACAACCACCCGAAGAGAACAAAAGGAAACCAGTTTTGGGGAAACTTGGCAATCTGTTCACGGCAGGAAGGAGAAGGAACACCAGAAACGGATTAGAGAGTCCCACCAGTTCAAATGCCAAATCAGCCTCTCCCAAAGATGTAACCTCTTCCCAGCTCCTTGAAAGAGAGGATGAGAAGAGGAAATCTCAGGGCAGCCAACCAAAGCAAACCGACAAGTGCGAGGATGGCTTCCCCCAGGAGGAGCCCCGGGAGCCAGAGGGCGAGCCCCCTAACACCTGTGTCCAAGGAGCCCCCCCTGACGCCGAGCTGTCGCCTCACTCGAGCAGCCATGCAGGGGCGGCTGTACAACTGTGCCATAAAAGTGATTCACCCCCACTAGGACCTCTGGATTCAGGTGGAGAGCCCTTCCCAGATGCCATCGCTGCTGCCAAGCTGCTGCATTCCTCGCTAGAGAGTTGCCTCGGGCAAGAGAGCGCAGAGACGCTAGCCCGCAGTCCGAGGGAGGACGCTTCGTCCTGCGCTGCTCCGGAGCGGGAGGCAGCCCAGGGTGCCGGGGGTGTGCCGGGGTCGCCCACGGCGGAGCGACCCGCCAGGGGTGCCGAAGGAGACTCTTTGGGCCCCCAAGAAGCGCGCAGCCAGCCCCCAGGGGACGCCTCTGTTCCGCCAGGTGACCCTCCTGCCGAGGACTCAGAGAAGGGGGCCGGGCCCGCCCAGGCGACCGACAAAGCCGGGCCCGGAGGACGGGAGTGCCGGCCCGGCGAGCGCGCCCATCCCGCCAAAGTGTTAACTTTGGACATCTACTTGAGTAAGACTGAGGTGGAGCAGGTGGACGAGCCGGTCCTCGTTACTGCCGGGGCAGAAGATTGCAGCGATAACGACGATATGGATAAGAGGGCGAGCGGCCGCAGATCAGGAAGGCGGAGGAAGTCGCAGAAATCCTCCGACTCCCCCGGCGCGGACACCGCGCTGCCCGACAGCGCGGCGAGGGACGACGCAGTGTTCGACTACGAGGTGGCGCCAAACGCCGCCGCTGAGAACGGCTTGGCGGAAAAGAAAGTGAAATCCCCGCGAGCTGCCCCGGACGCGAGTCCAGAGTCCAAGACCAGCCCCGGCTCCAAGGGGCAGCCCCGAGGAGAGTCGGACCGGAGCAAACAGCCTCCGCCGGCCACGTCCCCCACCAAAAGGAGGGGAAAGAGCCGTGTCTCCGAAGCTGTGCTCATCCCGCCGGCTGGCGGCCCAAGGGCTCCTGCCAAGGAGTCCCCGCCCAAGAGGTCGCCGGCGCCTGACTCCAGCCCCGCTGCCAAGGCTGCGGCGGGGGAGAACGGGGAGGAGGTGCCCCGGGTCGTGCCCCGCGAGCTCACAGTCAAGAGCAGCTCCCTGCTGCCCGAGATCAGGCCGGAGCACAGGAGGGGGCCACTCCCCAACCACTTCGACAACCGGGGAGAAGGAAGTCGAAGCAAAGAGCTGGGCAGATGGTCTGGAGTTGCCGACGCCGATGGCGTAAAGCCCAGGAACCATTTCGGGGCGGACAGGTCGACGGTGACCACTAAAGTGACCCTGTAAGTAACCGCGGTACCTGTGCGGGCGAACACGCGCGGGCGGAGCACGTGCTGCGCGGCAGATCTGGGAGGCTCGGGGTCTTTGTGCTCGTGGAAGAGCTGTCTGTGCACTGAATTTTTTCCTCCTTCTGTGTTGTAGTTAAGATTTAAGAAGATGACACATTCGGGAGCATAGTTGATTGGTAATTCCGGTTTTAATATAAGATTTAATCAAATGAATATAAAAATTAGGTCTCTGTTGAGGCTCAGTGTTTACATAAGCGAAAGAGAGTACAAGATGTCATGACGTAAGCAAATTCTATTCTTTATTCAAAACGTACACTGGCGCTCTTGGATAGAACATTCTTAGAAAACACATGCAGTGAATTTGAAAACATGGAGCAAACACTAATATGTTCAGTATGTTTCAGTAGCTTTGACATGTGTGAGTTTAAGAGTATTCACAGAACCATTTATGGAACTTAGTGCATTATTTGCCTAAGCATAAAGAAACAAACTCTTACACAAGTACCTTGGTGGCTTCTTCCCCTTTATAATGTTAGGGAGTCTGGTAATATTTTTGCCTCCAAGTTGAGAGGTAATACTCATTTATTGAAATAAGAAATGTCAAAATAGGGAGAAAAAAGAAAAAAATAGAAAAACAGCAATCAAAAAAAAGAAGAAGAAGAAAGAAAAAGAAAAGAAGAAAGGCTAATGTTCTTACCTGGAGACTATTTGCAAATGAAAAGATATGTTAGAAGAATCAAGCTCCACAACAGACTGACTACTTGCTGTTAAGTTGATTGATTTCTCAAATACTTACTGAGTGCCTTCGGTGTGTGGTCCTGTGCTGTGAACTATGGGGGTGAAACCCCAACTGTGATTCACTGTTTTACCCTTGAGAAGTCTATGTCCCAGTCTGGAACGCAAGATGGTGACAAATCAAATAGCAATATGAAGTGATCCCTGATTAAACTGCCAGTGGATATTACCACCCATGAAGGCTGGGGATGTGCAAAAGGAAGAAGAAAATCACTGTTGGAGGACTTGTGCTTTGATGGTAACGGGACGGTATGGGTGGACCGGATAGGGAGGGTACTAGAAAACTCTTAAGATCCTAGCCCTTCCCACACTGTCATTCCTCTACCTCCCAGTTAGGGTCGGTGAAAAAAATTAGTATCTAAACTGCTTAAGTTTTTCCTCCATTCACACATGTATTAAAAGAGCTAGTATTTTCACAACATTATTCATAAACCCAATGGTCCATTCTATTTGACTTCTTGGATAAGTAAACTTTAGAGCAGGCCTGTTTGGTCAACATTTGAGGGTAAAGTCTGCTTAATGACTACCTTGAGCTACCTCATCAGTTTTGAACCTGGAGACCTTTGATATAGTCAACTATTTATTCTGTAAGAGCAGCATTGGAGAAATAACCTGAGTGAATGATGCCCATTATTTGTAGAAGGCTGTGCCAACATTCATACCTAAGTGTGAGCCTTAGAGACATGCTCCAGTATACCTGGTTAAGGATGCTTCAGCTTTCCCTGTCTTCCAGTAGGAATACACCAGTGGAAAAACCAGAAATGTTACACTATTAAGGGACAGGGTAAACAAACCTAGACAAGCAGAACTTACAATGGAACTCCTCATGTGCTGGTATCTGTAATAGAATTAAACCAAGTGTCTTTCTCAGTACTAATTAGTTTCTCCCTAAAATTTTTCCTTTACCTGACACTGTTTATTTGATTTTGTTTTCCACAAGGCCTCACACTTGGTGAACTGGCAAACTATTGAAATGGAAAATCAATAATTCTTCTAGTTCTTTTCTGTTTGATGGGGTTTTTCAAACCCTTTAATTTCCCCTGATTGCCTTTTAAGAAAAGACGTTACTCAGATTATTTTTTTAAAAAACCAATGTGAACCTAAAGTTTTAGGCTTAAAACTGTATATTTCCTCAAGAATAATGACTATGCAGCAGCATGTTTCTTGAAGTTGTTAGAAAAATGTCTTCAGTTCTCTACAAAGTATTGAACGTTGCAATTCCTAAAATGGTATATTTCAAATAAGGAGAATTTTCCTCTCATATTATAGCCATAGCTTTTAGACTCCATTATTTTCCCTTCTCACATTATCATGAAGGCATTACAACAGGAATTATAGGAGTCTTTTAATAACTTTGAGCTAGGTTAATTGTAGTGACTCTTGGTAGCAAAAAGTTAATAGCACAAAAGTTTGGTTGTAAAATGCATTTTGAGCTTGGTGTAAATCTTTAATGTGCAGATGTGTTTTCTGTCTTTAAGGTAGCTTGTTGCCTAACCTGTGGCATTTTCCACTTACATTATAAGATGCACTTTGATGTTTGGCTGTTCTTAGAGAATGATTAGTGAGAATTCTTTAAATGTATATTCCCTGGGATGTGAACATCCCTCATTAACTGATAGCATTTGTAATCTTCTTAGTTCTAATCATCTCACTGGTTTTAAAGTTTTTATCTTTAAGGAAGTGCTGATAAGTTAATTTGCTTTTAAATAGAATATGTGGGCCCACAATGTGGGAGCCTAGATATCTTATGGAGATACTGGGGAAAGCAATGCCTGGGAGAAATGAATGAGAATATATCGAATTTAGTATTTAAATAAAATATTTAAAAATGAAAATCTTAAATTCTTAATGCTGCATTTCGGAAGGACTTCTCAAGTTCTCTCATTTTATCCAGGAGGATAAGATGTGCCACCCAAAGTCACACTGCCCATTCCTCCAAAAGGCTCCGCAGGCCCAACCTCCTTGAAAGGCAGTGAGTCCCTGTGGGAAAGGAGTGAGACTGCAGTGCTTCTCAACTTTGTGTTCTCACTATCGTGGGGCCGCCTAAAGTGTGATGACTTTATCTTGTAGATCTCACGATAAATCATTGACTCCTTGAGTCGTAATGCTGGGAAGAGGCGGAGGAGGTCACTGAGGCGAGTCTTGGCAGACCGTTTCTAGGGAAGCGGAATAGTAGGGTGGTCGGGAGCACGGATCCAAAAGCAGAACGAGGGGCTTCGAATCCTGGCCCTCACCATAGCCCTCGCGTCACTCACTAGGTGTGTGACCTCCGGCAAATGACTTACCTTCTCTAAGCCTCAACTTCCTCATCTTAAAAGAGAATGTATAAATTGTACATTAGGCAAGCCATAGAGGGTGTTTCTCAAGTGCATGGTAATCAGTGAATATTAGTGGTTATTATCTCTTCCATTTTATAAACCACTAGACCAATGGTTTAGACATTTTTGGTTTTGTTTGTTTTTAGGTTTGGAGTCTGTTCTAGGAGAGCGTATATAAAAGTGATGTATAAAACAAACAAATAAGAGCAATTCTAACTGACAGGAGGGAGGCTGGCCAGGAGCCCCACCCCTCGGCCTCCATTGCCCCCCACAGCCGCCCTTGAGGAGAACTCCGGGACGACTACAACCCTAACGGGGGCCGGGCGGGGGGTTAGGGGACCAGGTCTGTTCTAAACTATCTAGTGTTTCTTTGTTTACAGATAGAGAAGGCAGAGTTCAGAGAGTTAAAGTGACTTGACCAAGTACACACATATAATTAGTGTAAGAGCCAGGACCAGAGTCTGCTAATGTCAAACAGAACGTTTTGTTTCTCAGAAAGAAAAAATGTGTCCATTCAAAGACTGATGGTTACCATTGGGGGTAATTATACCCAAGAGACGAGAATGAGAGGGGAGACTCTCTGCCCAAGAAATGGTGACAAAATCAACAATTGGGTAATTGATAAGTAAATTATGGTACATTCATATGATGGACTCTTACGCAGACATTAAGAAAACTTTTCAAACAATTTTTCTGGTAACTTGAACATGTTAAAAATGTTAAATATAAGGCTAAGTAATCTTATTTTTAAAGACAAGCTACCAAACTCCATGAACAGAATAATCTTAATTCTATTGAAAATATTTAACTGCATATAAAAAGACTATACCTATACTAAATTGTTAACAGAGATATTATATCTGTGTGGTAGGATCGGGGTGATTTTTCATTTTTATATTTTCCAAATTTTCTGTACTGAGCATACTTATATAATCAGAGAAATATTTTATGGGGGAAGAATGAAGGGGATAGAACATCCAAAGAGGTAAATAATAGAGAAATATTGTTTATAATCTAGCATTTTGAGATAATTTTAAAAAAAGTTATGGTAAAGTAAAAATTACAGCTTATGTTTAGAGAAATCATTTACATATTTAAAATATGGAAGCTTGTTAAATATTTAAATTTGTTCTAATGTTCTTCAGACCCTAAAACCTTTTCTAACTCTGGTGTCAAGCACTGTGCGAACATACTAGGTACTTGATAAACTTGTTAACCTCCCTCCTCTAGTTTTTCTTAGGTATGTAATTTTCTCATCCCTCATATGGAAGCAAAACATGGATTAAAAATAGTTAATAGTGTATTTGGGATTGTTTTAAAATAGTTTTCTATTTTAAAAAGTTATATATCAGAAAGATGTTGGCTTTTATAGTTTTGTAATTAATTGGTATGTTCACTTTTTCAAACTAGGTCAGTAACTTTATCATATTGCTTTTTTCTTGCAGCCCTGCCAAGCCCAAACATGTGGAACTAAATTTTAAAACCCCTAAGAATCCTCACAGTTCGGGAAATGAGCATAATCCATTTAGCCAGCCAGTTCATAAAGGAAACACTGCCACTAAAATCTCCTTATTTGAAAACAAACGGGCAAACAGCAGCCCAAGACATACTGACATTCGAGGCACAAAGAACACCCTCTCCTCTAATAAGACATTTGTCGGGAGGGCGAAGCTGAATTTAGCCCAAAAAGCCAAGGAAATGGAGCAACCTGAAAAAAAAGTAGTACCAAATAGTCACCAGAATGGTGTTCTGGTGAAGGAAACCTCAGCAGAAACCAAAGCCATTCTCCCTGGAGAGCAGATCCTCCCAGCGACCGGCAGTCCCAGGGTAAGAGGCCTGGAAGGCGAGCCTACTGAGAACCAAGCTGCTGGTTCAGAGCTTAAACAGGATGATCAGGTAGATGTTCGTAGAGATGCTGGCTGCCCTCCTGAGCCAGGGGCTACTGCTCTGATTCCTGTCAAGGACCACAAACCCTTAGGAGAGGATGACTCCAAGGCCGCTGACAGTGAAAGACTTGTACTTGAAAATATGACTGAAACAGCAACAGCAAAAGCCATTCCTGCCGTTCTTGATACCAGAGATTCACCAACAGCTCCACCAAAGCCACAGGATACATTTTCTGACTCACAGCCCCCGGTTGAGTCATGTAATCAGTCCTGTTCACTGCCTGCATCCATTCCTGTGGCTGTTCCCAAAGACACATGTGCTGAAGCTCCTATAAGCAACTTGCCATGCACTGACCTAAAAGGGTCAGAAAACCGTAGTGGAGGTATTTTGCCCAAGTCTCATCCAGATAATGATAAAATGCCTCCCTCCAAACTTGGAGGAGAAGGAGAAGGAAGCCTTCCTTTGTCCACAGAGCACAGCCCAGAAGCTGTGGGCAATGGGAGTCCGTCCAAGGTCCTTGTCCAGGTCAGGTCCTTTGTCCTTCCCGTGGAGAGCACCCAGGATGTAAGCTCCCAGATCATCTCTGACAGCACTGAAGTTAGAGAAGTGCAGTTGCCAAGTTGTCACAATAATGAACTTGAAGTGGTTTCCGTTGCAAGTTGTGCTCCCCAGAAAGAGGAAGTCCCCGGCAATAAGAGCACACCACCCAAACGCATTCATTGCAAAGAGGAACATGTAGCAAAATCTGGCCCACAAGTCACGCTGCTGGAATCAGAGAAAACCCTGCCTATCCAGGTTCCAAGTCAGGAGAATAGAACACCCCTGACAGTTGATGCCAGCCTCACCGCCTCCCCTGAGAGCAGAAATCATGTAGAAACTCCTCAAAGGCCAGGTCAACATGTTGTGAATGGCCAGGACAGCCCTGCCAGTCTCTTGAACATTTCTGCTGCTGGTAGTGATGATAGTGTATTTGATTCTTCTTCTGATATGGAAAAATTCACTGAAATTATAAAAAATATGGAGAGCACAGTTTGTGTGCCTCAGAAAAAAAAGAAAGCCAGGGTGCCAAACTCTCCTGCCCCTCACTTTGTCATGCCTCCTATTCATGAGGACAATTTAGAAAAGGTGTTTGATCCCAACGTGTTTACCTTTGGTTTGGGGAAGAAAAAGGGAAGCCAGCCAGAAATGTCACCAGCTTTACAGCTGATGCAGAATCTAGACACAAAATCCACACTGAGGCCCAAACGTACGTCCACCGAACAGAGCATCCTCTTCAAGTCCTCGCACGCCCACACTAATGGGAAAGATGAACCTCTGGCGACTCCAGAAATAAATGACAAAGAGAACAGGGATGTCACAAATGGTGGAGTGAAGAGATCTAGGCTAGAAAAAAGTGCACTTTTCTCAAGCATGCTATCTTCTTTTCCACAAGACAAAATCTTTTCTCCCTCTGTAACATCAGTCAGTACTATGACCACAACTTTCAGCTCTTCTCAGAACACTTCTCTTTCTCGGTCTCCTGTACCACAGCCTGTGGCTGAGGGTGCCCCACCCTGCACTGCAGATAAAGAACAGCCAAACCTTCAGCCCAACAACTTCTTAAAGGTCTTCAATTTTGACTCGTCGACTACATCTCACTCAGGCTTGAAAAGTCCAAGCTACATGGAAAAATACCTGCAGAAAGAGGAAACCAAAAAAGACCCGGATTCACGAAGCAACCTACGCTTGCCAGAAACTAAATTTTCTGAATTTTCAAAACTGAAGAACAGTGATGATGCGGAAAAGGCTAATCATGTTGAAAGTGTTCTTAAGTCAAACTTGCCAAACTATGGGAACAACGACACAGACTTCATGGGTCTTTTCAAATCCAGACGGTTTGACCCAAACATTTCTTTTTCTGGAATGTCATTATCAGATCCACCAGTAAGTAGCCACGTGTGCTCATTTCTTTGGGGTATTTTATAAAGTGAGAGGAGAGAGGGGTGATGAGCAATTCATGCTATTCGTTTGGAAATGGTTATGCTTGTGAACAATCATTTTTATTCATTGACTACGTATTTGGAAACCTATGTACAAGGGACTGCTAAGGTCCAAGAAAAAGTTACTAAGGTTCAATTTTCAAGGTATTCATAGTCTAGCAGGGAAAATAACTTACCGATATTTGAAAGTACTTGTGAATTTATATGCCATATTATGAAAGGTTATAGATAAAGTACCTTGAGAGTTCAGAGACAGACAAGATGTTTTTACTTACCTAGTTTCGTATAAAAGTGCTAAGTACTGTAGTTACAATTTTGAAGATTTGTGAAGCAGCTTCCTTTATTTGGAAAAGCCCCTACTTATTCCTAATCCCTTGTGCTGTGAAGTTCTTCCTTTCTTTCTATAAGTAGCAAGAAATGTATATGTTATGCATTTGAGAAAATATTTTCTCTTTATTTGAAGTTAATTTTCACCAGGGAAGTGTTTTTTTCCTGCAAAACCTTGGAGGAGTAAAAAAGTTTGGTCTACGTCAGATCTGTCCTTTAATATTGTAGACAGGGCAGCAAAATATGATTTTGAGCAACAATTTTGATGTCTGCATCTTGTTCTGACTGCTGACATTGTTTCCTTTACTCAGCTTTTGATGTGAATTTGTGCCTTTCTGTTACCATGCTTGATACTCAAGTTGAGAGAGGACAAGAAAAGAGGAAAACAAACTACAAGGTTTAGAGGTCAGCTCTGTTAGCCAGACACATGGGCGGATCTCTGTATCCCTGCTGCCCACCCTGTGAACCAGGCCGTCTGTCAAGTGTAGACCATCATCCAAAAGAGTTTATCAAGATGAAGATACCTTGCACCCTTCCTCATGTGTATAAGGCCCTGTGACTTATTTCAGTTTGTTGTATTGGCTTTGCTATGGGCCCGTCATAGGACGTAATTCTGGAAGCTCTTTCAAAAAATATAGTTGGGTTTCCAGTAGATGTTTAGATCCCTCTTTTCAAAGGTTTTCAAATTTTTGGTCTCAGGATGCTTTTAGGTTTAAAAATTATTGAGGACTCCAAAGAGTATTTGTTCACGTATGTTATACCTGTCAGAATGTATTATATTAGAAATGAACACTGACAAAAATGTAAATTGCAAGAACACACAAGTGTACATTTCATTAGCCTTCATGGCAATGATGTCATGGACCCTCTGAAAAATTCCCACTGTATACTCAGGGATAACAATAGTGAAAAAGGTAAATACCCTCTTCTTATGAAAATAAGAAGACCTTATGGATTCCCTGAAAGTACCTTGGGAACCTTCCATGGGTCCCTGGACCACACTTTGGGAACCACTACTGTATATGACCACTTACTTAATCAGTCTGTAGCTCTCAGAAGTCATGAAGTTTTTAAGTATTTCTCTCAAGCACAAAATTTCCACTGGTCCACTTCCCATTCATTACAGCATTATTCTCTTTTCAATTATCCTTGGATCAGTTCTGCTACTTGACAACAGTCTAGTGAGCGTGACAATAGAATATATGGTTTCCCTGTGAAATCCCTTGAAAAACCAAGCCAAATGGGGTAAAAATGAGAAACAAAGTGCTTTATACTTCCTTTATTTTCCCTTAGGTTTTGGGCTTTGTTGATTCTATTAACTATTCTATCTTCCATGTGTTACCTGAATTTTGTTTTAAATTGTAGGCTTTTTGTTCAGCTTGTCTACTTCTAATGTGTGTATATAAATAAGTCAATGCCATTTTGACATCTAATAATGCTTTTCTGAGGCCTTCCTCTGGTCTTTTGGGCATATTCCATGCTGCGTGATGCAGGAGTGATCAGATCAAAGGCAGTCCTTAAAATAGGCATCCTGGCCAGCATTGAAAGTAGTCAACGTTTTATAATATTTTTACATATATAATTACTATTTTTATTGTGTTATGCATTTCTGGTTTTACTGGCCTTGTCACATAGTCTTGAAAATGATTAGTTTTGTAGCTATTACAAAATATATTTCATCTATCAGAAAGGGAGTGATTTACATATGCTGCGTACAATGTACATTGTGAAATAATCCATAAACATGTTTTTATTTAGACTAGTAGTTACATGATGGTAGATGTTATTATGAAAAAACAATATTTATAAATTCAGATAAGGTGTGTATACGAATACATAAAATTAATTCAGCTCATTCTAGATAAGTGATTAATATGTTATAGTTTCTCTTTATTTGAGATTATTTGAACTATAATTTGCTGAGGCCTTATTCTGTAAATTCAGGTAAAACACAGGTCTGACTCTTGAGTCCTGAATTTTCTAGATGGGGGAAACTAGCATAGGCATTTAAATGAAGAGAAATTGGAATGGCAAATTCACTTTCTGGAGAGCGGGGAAAGCTCTTAATAGTATAGACTCAAAGAGAGTTTTAATACAATTTTGGGATAGATAAAGGTAGACTTGTTTCAAAACTAATAAATTGTGAGGTGAATATAATCTTAAAGGATCATGGGAGGAAAAAAGAGGATTGTTATGCAAAGTTTAATTATTTGTTGTGGTTTTTTCATCTGATTACAGACACTTAGAGGAAGTATCCAAAATAAAATCAATCCCCGACCTGGAAAGGTAAGATTATATTCTATTTCTAGTCTAGACTTTGTTTTGGTTTGATACAGCACAGTGAGAAATGGTATTGCTCTTTCCCCGGTAGGTAGTGATCTACAGCGAACCGGACGTCTCCGAGGAGTGTATTGAAGTCTTCGGTGACATTGAGGATTGCAGCTCTTGGAGCCTCTCTCCTGTGACGCTCGTGAAAGTTGTTAGAGGATGGTAAGAGTGGCACTTGGACTTCCCAACTTAGAGGGTCTAAGTTTTACGTTTTTAATTACTTTTTGGTTCTCAGTGCTTATTTAAAGTTATGCTGTTTTCAATGTAAAGCGCAGAAAATACTAGTCACAATGGGTATTAAAAGGAAAACATAACAAAGAAATAAAACAGGGTTCTTAATCATGTTTCTGATTATAGGTGTGATATGTGTCCTTTGCTAGAAAAATCAGAAAAGTGTAGAAGTATAAGTTTCTTTTCCCATATAACCCCACATAACATTGGTTTGGACTAATAAACATTGGAGTCCATAATATACTTTTGGTTTCTGAATTTTCAATGAGGTTGATAAGAATTGTACTAGTTACATTGGTAGAATTTTTTAAATTCCATAAGAGGAAAGACATTTTGCTAACTTAAAATAATAGTTCAGTGAAAGACTAAGTTAAAAGTTATTTTCTAACTTTTTGATAACAGCTAGTAAAGAAATTGATGAAAAAAATTATTTTGCCAGCTTAATTGCTTCTAAAACATATACAGGAAGTTAAATTAAGAAAAGCAGTAAAAATATTACTTATGTGACATGAATACTTATCTTTGGTGCTTATTTATAAACTTGTTTGAAATAAAGAGATAGGGCTCTAGACATTTGTGGTTTAAAAAATGAGTAAGCTTTTCTGTTGGTCTCCATTTGATTAAATATACAACATCTTTCTTACAAGGTTTTAGGTATTTTACTGTATTTTTCTATATATTAAACATGTTCAATAGGAAAATACAATTACTTTCTGTTCTTAAATTTGAAGACAAAATAACACTAAGAGTTTTTGTTTAACAATTTTGTTTTTAATAAAATAGTGTTTTCTTTTTTGTCTGTGTGCAATTTTTGTTGTCTTCTCTCTTCTTGAAAGTATAAGCATTTAAGAACACGGTTATATACAGGGTTTGACAAAAGCAGGCTTACAGTTGTGAGTATGCAAAACAGAGTTTATTCTTGTATTATTTACTCATTATTTTTTCATATAAACAACTATAAACCTACTTTTGCCCATGCCTGTACTGACATGTTTTTCTTCAATGTTTGGATATTGTTGCGAAGGATATTCTAAAAATGGTTTTTATTAACATGCATGTAGTCCTTTGTATCAATATATCCATTGACATGACTCAAAATTGTAAGTTTAAATCCTTCCAAGACAAGTGTTTTCTACACATATAGCGAGAAGAAATTACAGTAAAAGTCCATTTAGCTGATGTACTACTATTTACAGGTCTCTATCAACTGTCAATTCTATTGAACATTAGTATCTCTCTAACATTAATATTGATAGTGAAAAGTTTTCTAAGATCCTGATATAATTCTTGAATTATCAGAGGCTAAATTTCAGTAAATTTTAGTTTTATGGAGAGATTATACATTTTCACTGTTGAAGAACTGGCTGTAATATATGAGATAGACACGCGCGCGCACACAAGCACACACACGCGCCCACCGCCCCCGCGCCCCTACCAGCTTTTAGCCAGGATATTTGAGTAATCTTAATCTTCTTTCACCAGAACTGGCTAACCGTTTTGCCATGTTTTATTCTCAGTTGGATTTTGTATGAGAAACCAAATTTTGAAGGGCACTCCATCCCCTTAGAAGAAGGAGAGTTGGAACTTACTGGTCTCTGGAGTACAGAAGCTATTTTGGAAGAAAAAGAGGAGGAAGAGTCTGCAAAGCCTGTGGTGATTGGTTCAATGAGACATGTGGTCAAGGTAGGTTATGGGAAAACCAGAGTCTGTCTGTCCATTCAGCAAATATTTATTGAATGACAGGGATGATTCTTACTTGGAGAGAAAAGTTCACTTTATGAAATAAGTGATTGGGAAAAATATTTGATAGGTGTTTATGGGTATACTTTCTATGATTTAAGTATTTGTACACTTTAAATGAATTAGAAGAGAAACATTCTCATTAGTTACTTTTTCCACAATAAATCTTGAAGGTTAATTTCTCATTCCTGGCTCCCTATCGCCTTCTCCAAATGTATTTCATGTAATGACCTGGTTTTCGATGTGTTCTGAATGAACAAATTTTCCTTTTTTTTTCCATTTAGTGTTTTGGTTGCTGTGTGAGTTCTGATTACCTTGAGTGGCTTATAGGAATTCTATTCTGGAAAATGAATAATCCAAAAGTAATTCAGTTGATAATGCAACTCTGGAGTTTCGTGTGGGTTTTAAAAACTAGGTATTTGAAGCTACTTTAAGGATTGGGTAAAATTTCCTTGGTTCCTTTTTGTATCAGTCTTTCTTTGTGGCTGTTGGGATTCGATGATTCTTTACCTTTTAAAAATGTAATTAATGGTGTTTTCCAAGTGGAAAATTAAAACCCTGTGTGTGTAATAGAGATGGGTATAGGGGGTGCAATAGGGAGAAAGGGAATGTTCTAAAATGAGGATGACTAAGAATGAGTAAGAGTTTTTATGTAAGTGCATAACGTGATAAACCTTAAGTAAGACATGAGGAACCTCATTTAAAAATGTCATAGTTAGTGGAATAATTTGCCTGCAGTTTTTATTTATTGCTCAAATAATGTTGATGATACAGCAGTGTTTTAAAATACCATCCAAATCCCACCATCATGAATTTTTCTAAATTCTCTTAGTCTCAATCTAATCTGTATTTTTCTGTAGTTATGGTCTAAATATAGGCACAATGCTGTTTTCCTTTTTTATCCCCCCACTTAACACTTTAGTTTTCAATCCTTTTCTCTTTCCCTGCCATTTTTCTGAAGATCACACTCCTACTGGTAACATCTCTCATTGATTTGCAACTAGGGGAGGTATCAGAATCTGGTAGGTTGGGGATTTAGGTGCATTCAGAAAGGTAGGGGAAGGGAACTGAAGCCTCTGGGTAAAGGGGCCCCCATATTGCCCGAGAATAGCAGACTTGATGAAATTCACCTTTTCATGTCACTACATCCTTTGGGCTTTCCATTGCAATGAAGTACCGTCATTTATTTTTCCTTTCTACTTCCTGTGGAATTTAAGGTGGTTTCTAGTTTTTTACTCTTTTGAACAATGCTGCATGCACATTTTTGTGCACGGAATAATTGATAAATTTCTGATTTATTTCCTTGGGGTGAATTTTTCTGAAGGGTTTCATGTTAAAAAGTAGGAACACTTTTATGGCTCCTGATATATCATGAATTATCATTATTATTTTCACACATTGTGTTGATGGGTATTTTGAAACACAAGCAAAAGTCACAGCATGCATTCCAGAAGTTCATTGAATTTGCTTCTTTTGGTAATGTTTGAGAAAGCCCCTGAACTAATAATATTCAAGTGCTATTGTTTCTTCTGTACATGAGTTCACCTAACTCAGCAATCACATATTAGTAAAGATTTGATTAGCACTTAGGCACTCAGCCAGGAGAGGCCTTTTGAAGAGTGTTTTATAGACCGTGGACATGCAGGGCATGGAACAGTGATCAAAGCGCAGATTCATAAATCACAGTAACTGGGGTTTTGCATTAACTTAGACCGAACCAACATCACAGAGGTTTGGTCATAGTCAAGGAGAGTTTCCACAGGGGACTGAAGGGCACTAAACCACAGTTGAGGATGGCTTCTGGCACGGCCACTCTATAGACTAGATTCTCTGGAGCTGGGAGGTCACATCAGAGCAAAGTAACTAAAACTCCTGTCACCAAGGAAAGCCAAGCAGTTTTTCAGTGAGGATGAGAGAAATAAATATGTTCCAAAAACTCTAATTGAATACATTTTTGGTGATTGTTGCTTGAATGTAAAACTCAGATATATGACGAAAGCCATGTGTCTGCCTCAAAGGTGCACATATTATTAAGTCATGGGTGAAAACAGGAAAGAGATAAAATAACAGGTGCTCTGTGTATAGTTAACTCTTAATTGTTGGAAAAAATGAGCTTACTGTAGAGTTACATAAATGGTATAATTATTATTATGTATGTAAGTATGTATTTTTTTTTTTCAGGATTACAGAGTTAGTCATATTGACTTATATACTGAGCCAGAAGGGTTAGGAGTCCTGAATTCGTACTTTGATGACACTGAAGAAATGCAGGGGTTTGGTGTAATGCAGAAGACTTCTTCCATGAAAGTACATTGGGGCACGTAAGTGTTTTATTTTAAACACAATTCTATTGAAGCTTTTTTTGGCGAGTGTTGTACTGGAAAAAAAACTTAAAATATTCTGTCTCTGATCTGTTATTAAGAAACTATTGACTAAAAGGTTGTTGTTTTTTTTTTTAATAAGGCACATAAAACTCTGATTCTTTTGTATAGCTCTGACAAACAGCAATGATTTCTTAGAGGAAGTGCGGGGGGAGGGGGGAAATGCACGTTTAATGTAGGGATTTCCTTATCACAGAGGAACCTGATTCATTCAAAGCTGAGTAAGAGATTTACCTTCCTGGTAGATTCAAAGGGTGATTCAAAGCCTGTGCCGCTGATACTTCAGGTGGGATAGAGGCCAATACACATGGTACTTCCTTTAATGTTTTCACACAATGCTGTCCAAAGTCCCTAGGACACTGATTTCACAAATCACAGGAAACAGATAACGCAAGAGTATTTTGAAGGCAATGGGAATGTCTCAGCTGGGGGAGAAATGAGGACAGAAAGCGCAGACTGCGGCACTGAAGATCGGCGTCTCTAAAGCAGAGTGGGCAGCACAGGGCATGTGAAAGATATCCATTGAGATGCATGGAAAAAATCCAACCACTACAGTTTCTTTATATCTTACTTAAAACTGCCTCCTTTTAAGATTTTATTTTTGTGTATGTTTTCTAATAATTTATAATATATTCAATGGTAATATATAATTTATAAATGTTCATATATTCCGAGAATGTGCAAAAATTTTTGTTAGTGGGGTTTGCACAGGACAATGCGTATGTAATATGTCAGGTGGCAAATACTGCAAGAAACAAATTATACCGAACAGTGGTAGTGCTCTTTTAGATAGGCTGGTCAGGGAAAGGTCTAACAGGCGAAACAGTTAGGCTGACACCTGGAGGAGGCCAGAGAGTCTGCCCTGGGGGTATTTTAGGGAGGGCTGGGGGAGGGATGGCCTAGGGTGGAAGCACAGCATTTGCAAAGCCCTGCTGGGCTTGTGTGGGGAACCAGAAGGAGGTCCAAAGGCTGGAGTAGAATGAGCTGGGAGGAAGCTCATGGGAGAGAGGCCTTGTGCCCTGTCAGGCCTTAAGGGTTTGGGGAGGATTTTCAATTACTCAGAGCGACAAGGGTAATTGCGAAGGAGTGTGATCTAACTTGTGTTTTAGAAAGGTCACTCTAACTGCTAGGTAGAAAAGAAACTGTAATGACGTGAGAGTAGAAGCAAAGCAACGAGTTAGGAGGCAATTGTAGTTATATAGGCAAGAGGGTTTGGTGGCTTAGACAGAATGACAATGCTGGTGAGAAATGATCAGATTCTGGATACGTTTTGAAGGTGGAACTGACAGCATCTGCTGACGGATTGTATGTGAGGTGTGAGGGGTGGAGAAATGTCTAGGGCTTGGGACCCCAGCCCTTGCTAGAATCTTAAAACACAAATGTAAGTCACAATGTTTGTTCAAAGGGGTCACCTTTTTAGTTCATTAAATTTGTTCCTTCTGTTGATGTTTGAAAGAGCCTCCCCTGAACGAACCCAAGTGTTAGTGTTTCCTCTACACATCAATAGCTCAGCAATCAAATATCAGTAGAAGTTTAAGAAGACTTGGAGGAGCAGGTTAGGAGGAAGGGTGAAATTCAGGAGGTCAGTCTTAGAGAAGTGAGGTTGGACATGCCAACTGTACATTGAAGTCGGAGGTCAGGAAGGAGACTGGGTACCTGAGACTGGTGTTTTGGAGGGAGGCTGGAGATGCAAATTTAGGGGTCATCTGTGGGGAGAAGGCATTTAAACCATGCGCTGGATGAGAGTGAGTATAAAGAGCAGAGACGCCATCCGAGCCTTGGGCACTTTTATATTTAGTGATTGGGAAGAAAAAGAGGAATCTAAACAAAGAAAAACATGTTTTCATCTCTTACTGCCTTTAATTTTTTCCCATCAATGAGATCTAAAATATGAATATTGAGAAATATCACTTTCCTTAGAAAAGAATACACTAGGCATCTGCCATAATATTTTAATCTCAATGTGTGGAAGGTTTCCTGACTCAGCCTTGGGCTGTGTGGAGCCTAATGAGCATCACTTAATGTTTCTTACCTTGAGGGTAAGTTTAACTTGTCTCCTACCTGGTGGTCACACACCTGTCATAGCTTTCGTTTCTGATGAGCTAGAGTCACGGGCCTCTTCTTTCTGCTGTTCACTACTGTTGCCTCTAGGAGAATAGAGAGCTGTCTTCAAGGTCAATTCAAAGTTTGCACATTGAACTTGCTTGGTCAGCAGTGGGACCAGGTCATTAGTGCTTTTACGGGTCTCTAAGGGGAGTCCTGATGGGTTGGGAGGAGTCACTGATAAGAAGCACCCGAGCTCATTTTGCCTCTGCTGGTGCACCAGCCCCCTGAACTGCTGTAAGAGAGGCCTTTGCTGTGTGAGGGACTTCTTACAGTTCCACTGGGAGATATATTCTAGGGCCTGTTAGCTCTGGATTAGGCTCTTCTACACATGTGCAAAACAAGGGTATTACCTGTCAGGTTTTCATGTGGGGAAATGAATAATTTCTAGATACATTTTCCCTTTCTATTCTGTTGAGTGTAATCTGTTTTTAAACCTTTGTTTCAATAGCTGGTTAATGCCAGCAGCCATCGTCTCAGAGGCGAGGTTACATCTTTTGGGGCGGTATATTTCTCACAAATAAAAAACAAAGAATTTTAAAACTTCAAAGGAAGCATAAAGAGCATCTGTTTAAGGAAGGCAGGCTTTGGTCATTTGCTCAACACCAGGATTAGTTGTTAGCAGAACAGTTACTGGAATGCAGGTGTTCTGAGGTCAAGGGACTTTTTTTTAATAGGCAAATGTTTTTGGATCAATTTTATTATGAAATAATTGATCCTACAGGAGAATATATGTGTATCTGTGAATTATGAAGCCTAGTAATAAAACAAACACTTAGGCGCCCACCGCCCAACTTAGGCCCTCACGGTTGCCAACGCGGCTGCAGCACCGTGTAGCCCACCCCGGTCCCATCCTACGGACCCCTCTCCACACACGTATCCTCTGTCCGGAACTTTGTGTTTTTCTTAAGCCCTTATTTTACAGAGTGTCCCTATAGTATCTGCCTCTATAATATTTTAGTTGTGCTTGCTATTAAATTTTATAAAAATATTATCAAACTTCCCTGTGGCTTGTTCCTTTTTCTCTGCCTTGTTTCCAAGATTACCAAGATATACAATGAGTATATTTGTATTTTATACTTTTTTTATTACTGTATAACATTCACTGTGTCTGTTTCCTTGTGGAATATACCATATCAGAGCCCAGCTTTTATTATGAAAGTTTTCAGACATAACCAAAGTAGAAATAGTTCAGCGAACATCCATATACTGTCCACTTAAATTTAACAATTAGTATTTTGTGCCCTGACTGGTGTGGCTCCATTGGTTAGAGTATCGTCCTGTAACCAAAAGTTGTAGGTACAATTCCCCATCAGGGCACATACCTAGGTTATAGGTATGATCCCTAGTCCGGGCACGTATGGGAGGTAACCAATTGATGTTTCTCACAACAATGTTTCTCTCTCCTTTCCTCTCTCTAAAGGCAGTGAAAAAAAGTCCTGGGGTGAGGATTAAAAAAATTAATATTTTGCCATAGTTGCAGATATCACGACCCTTCGTTCCTATGTACTTTACCCTGCGTCTCTTTATAATGACATTCTCCTGTCATTATTCTCATCATCACACTGAGGAAAATGAACAATACATTCATTATAATATTTAATCTATAGCCCATAATCAAATTTTCCCAATTTCTCAGGAATGCCTCTTATGAATGTTATTTAATAATCAAGAGCCAATCAAAGTTCATATAAATATATTTGGTTGTCTCTGTAAGTCTCTTTTAGGACCGCCATCTTTGTTTCCCATGACACTGACTTTTCAAAGCATTCAGGTCAGCTCTCTTAAATATACCACACTCTAGATTCGTCTCTATTTCTTCATAATATCATTTAACTTTCTGCTCTATTGCTTGAATTTTTTATATTTTAGAGGTTGGGTCTAGAGGTGTGATCAGATGCAGGCTGAATGGTTTTGGAAACGATACTTGATGAAGCTATTGCCACATACCATTTTTTGCCAGGTATAATGCACGCCCATGTTTTTGTGCACATTATACATGGCAAAAAATTTGGGGGAAAAGTGCACATTATACATGACAAAATGCGGTACTTGTGTTGCATCACAAAGGTGGCATGTGCTAAGCTGCTCCCACGGACCACACCAAGTTGGATTGCTTGGTGCCTCCCTCCCCTCTCCATTGTAAAGGTACATCTTCCCCTTTGAGCTTCGTAGCTCAGCCTCTTTTGAATAACCTCATACTTTGCACATTCATATGAAATCTTTTGAGTATCCCATTGGCTTCTGTAAGTAGCCAACATTCATGTGTAGCCATGTCTGGGAGAATAAGACTTGGGATCCAGCTGGGAAGTCTGTTTTTGGTTTAAGAGCAGGTGAACAAGATAAGACCAGCTTTTCTCTTGTTACGTGAAGGGTATTTCTAAAAGAGAAATTACACAAATTTATTTCAAAAAATAAATGTATAGATGGACATTGCTATTACTTCGACAATATTTATTTGTATGCATACATTTGTTAGGCTTTTTTTTAAGAAGCCCATACCTTATAGTTGTACTGTTTATTCATAATATAGGCAAAAGTTCATTTTCTGGTGACAGTTTTTGTTAAGAATTCCCCCAGGGTAAATCAGTAACTTCTTTAGACTCACTAATTATACAGGGATTTACTATCAAAATCCCACTGAAGACTCATCAACACACACACACACACACACACACACACACACGCTGAGAGGCTGTGTGTGGTGTGTGTGTAGGGGACTGAAGTACACGGGACACTAGAGAGCACCTTTAGAAACTGAAATAACACTGCCTGAAGATAGTTTCCCCACTCCCCATGGCCTCATGAATAATGTATCTTGTTGGAATAGAATTTAGGAAAAATGATTCACTACCTCGTTGGAATAGAATTTAGGAAAAATGAATCACACTCTATAAATGAGTTTTCAAATTCCAGAGTCCACCCAACGTTCAGAAGTATCGTTCCCAGGAGGCCCTTAGTGCTCACTCACCGAGAAAGTGATCTCGGGACAACAGTGTGTCAGTTTGTGTTCAGTGTTTTAGCCCATCCCCCTTCACCCAAAATGATTTGCTTCTATCAATGTTAGGTGACTGAGCCACATGTTTCAAGGGAAGTGAAATGGTTAGTATCAGATGAATGAATCCCCTCAGAACTCAAACTATAAAAGGAAAGACTTAATGAAATGGTACTTTAGTCAGCATCATTTCAAAACCTCAGAATTACTTGTGTATGAGCCACCCATTGTATTTATGAAAAATTGAGCCCATTCACTTGTGAAGAGTCAGACTTCAAGGCCCTTGGCTTGTTAGCTTACTAGCACAGCTTATGACGAGCTGCCATTATTTACCTAGGGCGTGAAATGTGTGGTGTCCTGTGGGAGCACTGGGTCTAAAAACTATGCAGTGCACCCTTAACTGTCGTGCTTCAACATCAAGGAGGTTTACAGGACGCCGCTCCTTTAGCTTCTGTTTTCTTGTGGTTTAGGAACGTGGCAGTGGTATTATATGCTGTCTCTTTTTTCCCTTAGGCTGGTTTTTTATTGACATGTATGTAACATTTGTACATCATACGTGTATAAGCTGAGTGAATTTTCAAAGTGTAACCATAGCGCAGATCACGCAATAGAACACCACCAGGATCCCAGAGCCCCTCTCTTCTGCCTCCTCCCAGCTGTCCCCGCGCTCCCACTGTGAACTGTTATCCTGACTTCTAACCCTCGCTGCGTTGTGACCCCCCGCATATACATCACACACAGCCTCTCGACATTCACGCACGCGCTGGTGTGTCACGGAGTCTTCAGTAGGATTTTGATAGTAAATCCCTGTACAATTAGTGAGTCCAGAGAAGTGACTGATTTATCCTGGGGGAATTCTTAACAAAAACTTTAACAACAACAACAAAAAAAAATGCCTTTGGGCCAAAATTAGGAGCAAAAGAAAAGCAAAGAGGGAGAATCAGACCCATTTGCTGGTGAAGGACTTCATTTCCAGCATGTCCTTTGGGGCCTGGGGTTCCGGGGAACGTGGTGGGGTGCCCCAGCTAGGACACTGGCCAGACTAACAACGAACTGGAGCATAGAAGTGATCCCTGAGAATTCTGTATTTGTTTGTGAAGAGGGATGTAATACCTCTCTTATGGTTCACTTCTCCAGCTACCTTACCTTCCCAGAACCCTCCCAGGAACCAGAAAATTGATAGGACTTTGTCCCATCTTTAGAAACAGTTCTAACAGGCATGATTTCCTGGTTTCCTGGTTTCTGGCACATTGGGGGAGGGTGGGGCTGCTGGTTCCCTGACACAGGAGAAGTGACAGCTGACAAGCCTCATAAGAGTGTGGTACTGAAAAGTTATAAAAATCCAAGAACTCACAAAGCTTTGCATTCTGGGAATAAGTAGCCTTACAGACCTTCAGAGCCCGCGAGGACAGCACTGTGCATTGTCACGCTTACAGTGGCGGTCCTGAGTCATCAGGAAAAGAGTAGATCACATGCACTCCCGGGAATGAGAAAAGCTGCCATCCGAAAACGATTAGGAGCCTGGGTCTGGAGTCAGCTCGGATCAGTCCTGCATTTGGTATTTACAGCTGTGTGGCCCTGGGCGATTTACTTAACCTCACCTACAAAACGGGGACAATAGGATTCTGTCCTCACTGCATTGTTATGAGGATTAGATGGAATTCTGGGTGGCATTCTTTATTAAGCTCTAGGTGGATGTTAGCTGTTATTAATTTTTGACAAAGTGATGAATGAGTTAGTGCAGCATCTATTCTTTGGTTACAAATGAGATGTTGCCTTTTAAAATGCAGCTTGAGGTTTCCTAGCCAGGGCCTCCCTAAATACACACAGAGCCACAGGTAACTGCAGTTGCTCAAGGGTCAACTGTACTGTTATTACTTGGAAGTAATAGAGATGTTTACACTATGAAGGAATTCACAATATAAGTTAAAAAAAAAAGTGGTCAAAAACCAGCCACAGAGAAAAGCAAAGGCTCTTACGAAGAGCCATTTATAATGGTTTATCCTGCCTCGCGTCTCACATTGCCCTGAGTGTAGCTGTACATCGTCCAGATCCATCCACATCCTCTCCTGTTTCCCCTGCTCATCATGAGGTCCTGTGTATTGCTGAAATCATGACGAATTGTCTCTGTTTCTTTCCTTTTTGGTGCTTAGATGGCTGATTTATGAAGACGCTGGATTTCAGGGTGTCCCTTTTATCCTGGAACAGGGGGAATACCCCGACTTATCCTTCTGGAATACAGACGTAGCATACATTGGATCCATGCGCCCGCTGAAAATGGTAAAAATGAAATGTAACTGTTCTTGGAGTCAGTGATATTTTTGCCAGGCTGATATCAATAATTCAGAGGTTGTGACCTGGAAGCAATAAAGTAGACTTTTAAAATCAAATACGTATTAGATAGAACTTACTGCTAAATAGAAATAATAGGAAGCATAACTTGCTAGATGCTGCAAGTGAAAAAAATGTGGAGGGGCCCACGTCCTTTGCCTGCAAGGCATCCTTGGCCGGCAGGGCCCCAGGTGTGTGCACAGAGCTTAGTTAAGCCCGAGGCAGGTTTAGGAAGAAAGGAAAGAGTTAAGCCTTCATGTAAAAGGAGGAAAAAGGACAGATAAAGTCCAGTTTGTGGGTAATGGGACAGAGAAAGGGATATGTAGGAGGATAAATCAACTTGGGTCTTAGGTGGGTGATTTTATTTGATTATTTTTTATTTTCTTCATCCTCACCCAAGGACATGCTTATTGATTTTAGAGAGAGGGGAAGGAAAGCAGTGGGGGTTAGGGGGAAGAGACAGAGACATTGATGTGAGAGAGAAACATCGATCGAGAAACATTGATTCGCTGCCTCTCCTACACTCCCTGACTGGTGACTGAACCCACCCCCAAGGCATGGAATCCGTGACCTTTTGGTTCACAAGATGATGTTCCAACCACCTGAGCTACACCAGCCAGGGCTATTTCTTTTTAAAATTTGTTTATTTTTTAATCGTCATCCGAGGATATGTTTTTTGATTTTAGAGACAGAGAGAGAAACAGTGACTGGTTGCCCCTGCACTGGGATTGAACCTGCAGCCCTTTGGTGTGTGGGGCGGTGCTCCAGCTGACTGAGCCGCGCGGCCAGGGCCTTGGCTGGGTGATTTTAGGTGGAGACGTCTGCCACAGAACGCACTGCAGGAGCCCCGCGGGGCTGGGAAAGGGCAGGGCATGCTGTGGACCGGCCCGGCTGTAGTGACAGGCAGCTGGGCTGGTGGCGGCTCTGGGGGCACCGGGGCTGGATGTCTAGATGAATGCCGTCTTCCTGAGCATTTGCCTCAGAAAGGAGCTGTGCTTCCTCTGCCCTTCCCCTGCATTGGGCCTTGTCCTTTGTCTGGTCCTTGTGCACGACTCTGAGCCTCGGGAGGGTCCAGGCTGCAACTGTCTCGTCCCGTGTTAAGCACAGCGCGTGCCAGTATAGTGGGTACTCACCAAATATACGAGGCACGAGGGTGGTTCTCCTTTCAGATGTGTTTATGAAATTCCACTTTGCAATAAATTAGAAATTCATGAAGGTAACTTTTTTGATCCTAATTTTACCCTTCCCCCTAAGCTTGTGGCTTACTCACCTGCATGTTGCTGGTCTTACTGCAAATGATTTTGGGCTTTTTTCTAAAACTAAACCTACTTTCAAAGAAAAAAGTTTTGTGAATATATCAAAGAATCACCCTTAGTTTAGAAGGCAGTTTTTGATGATCATTTACAAAACTGTGAAGTGTATGGCATTCAAATCGGATTACTTTTAAAAAAGGTACTTACTTGGTTGTATTAGGTCTGGTTTGTTGACAAAATCAGCCACATTCCTTTATAATTACAGTTCATTTGAGCATCTTTTGCTGTGTTTTTTAAAAAGCTGTTAAATATATATATTGGTGAAAAATATCCTTCTGACTTTCCCAGTCTGACTTTAACTCTTACTCTGTTTAATATTCTTATGGAATACCTTTTACATGGTTTTTTTTTTAGAGAGTTTTGAGGAGTTAAAAGAAAGTTTTTATTATAAAAGCCTTACAACCCCTATAGATCCATCCTTTGGGGTATTTTACATTTTACCTAACAGTTTAATTATTTCAAGAGTCCTCCAGATCATATTGTGAACCTGTGTGAACTTCAACAGTTTCGTGAGCCATGGGTTGCAAAACCAAATGCCTTGGGGTAGGGCCAGGCAGCAAACAGACGCCGAGTGGGCGCGGCTGGGAGCTGAACTGAGGGAAGGCGGAGACAGGCAGACCAGAGCCCTGTCCTGGCCCAGGATGAGCACAGGGCAGTGTTAGTAAGTTCAGAAGGTGAAGGTTGCCACTGTGAGAATTTGGGTCTAGAAACGCAGCTCTTAGGACTACTTTTTAAGAGACGTGAGAAATACTCTTCCTTTTTTTGAGAAATTTATTGAGTTAAAAAAAAGAAACAAAACGTGACTTCACTCATCTGGAATCTAATAAACAAAATGAACTAACAAGCAAAATAGAGACAGACTCATAGATAGAGAGCAGGCTGACATCTCTGGGACGGGGGGGCGGTGGAGGGTGTTGGGGGGTGGAGGGGTGGAGCAATAAAGGGGAAAAAAGAAAGAGCTCAGGGACAGCAGTGTAGTAACTGTGGGGGTCGGAGAGTGGGCACAGGTGGAAGAGGGTACCGGGGATAAATGGTGATGGGAGAAAATATTAAAATTAAAATTAAAAAACAACAACAACTGAAATTTATAGGGTCAAAAAACACAGCTAACACGTAGGTGCGACGTGCACACCACTTCCATGAGACTCTGCTCTAGACTGTCTTTCTCATGCCGTCAGCTGGCCTTGTTGGTAATTTTAGAACTGTCTCAACATAAATTTAAACACACCAAATGCAAGCTTTCCGTGAGGTCCAGTGACGTACCCGACACTGTCACGTGTAGCATAAAAAGGTAATGTATCAACGAAAAACCATTTTTCTTACTGTGTTATTTTCTTTTCAGGGTGGCCGTAAAGTTGAATTCCCTGCAGATCCAAAGGTAAAATTATACATATTTTAAACTTTATTCTCATGCCATATCCATGAAGAGAACGCTTATGTGACTTTTACAGTGCAGCCTCCATGGAACAAAGTTGCAGCCAAAGGAAGTTGTTTCAACTCACACGCGCCGTCCTTCAGGCTGGAAGGCGATGCTCACGGCCCTAGCTGTCACTAAGCGCACATGCAGCCGTGGCTCAGAAGGCTTATTGTTGTATCACGTTTATAATTTGTAGTTGTATTTACTCATGGCACAGCCTGTTGCTGCTTGCCAGTTAGCCAGGAAAAAAGTTTCAAGACAAGTTCTCCTTACTCCAAAATGCTCTTTCTGCTTCCCACATCTTTGACATAGTTTGATCTGGAGTTTTTCCATTTTTAAAACAACTTAGAATCTTCTGGTTCTTCAGTTTGGCCTAACCTAAGCAAAATTCTAACTATCAGTTCTGGACATTGAAACAAAAACCAATTATTTATAAACTGTCTTTTGAACCTGAGCTTTGGGCTATACCATGTCAGGAAAAAGAATCCTGATTTTTTAAACACTGTAAGACTGTTATTTAATTAATTTTTAAAACTATGATGAGAACATTTTAATTTGTGTTCCAGGACTTAGTGTTGTTAAAATGACTAATGTTTAGCTCTTGAGATATTTGCTTCTTAGAAATTACTGGTATATCTCATTTCTACTACAGGTAGTTATTTATGAAAAGCCTTTCTTTGAGGGAAAATGTATGGAATTAGAAACAGAAATGTGTAGTTTTATCATGGAAGGAAGTGAAACGGAAGAAACCACTGGAGATGAATGTTTGCCACTAACGTCCGTGGGATCTATGAAGGTCCTCAGAGGCGTGTAAGTACAGAAGCACAGCCTTTCGGAATTTCTCTTTTTCCATCTTTAATTAAATAATAAAATGTGCCCCCTCCCCACCAAGAACATTCCAGATTGTATGGTAGAGAGAATTGCAAACATGTTCTTCTCAGCCGGTTGTGACCTGAATTTGACAGCGGTTTGAAAGGCTTGTCCAGGGTCAGTCAGCTGAGCAAGGCTGATATATTGGCCCATCCAGACTGATCCAATCTGCAATCTTGTTTATTAATATTTTGGCCCAAATGTTTGAACTTTCTATTTTTTATAATCATATTTTGTGCTTTTATAGATCTTATATATTTCCTTTGGAATTGCACACTTCCAAGGGGTCTTGTAAATAGCCAAAAGTACGTATTTTAATTACTGCATCAGCATTGCAAGTCACCAGTATTTGCTTGAAGCAAGTTTATCTAGTTTTATTTGCTGATGTCCTTTGGAGGCAGTTTTTATCAAACACACACTCCCCTCTTCCTTTACAATTGATACATGTTTCTTAGATTGTTTCGTTGGGGCCAATCTGTTCCTCTCCTAACTTTTAGAGAAGAATTCCAAAAGTCATAATGCATGAGTCCATTTCTAGCTTTATAATTCTTTGTGCTTGTCAATGAAACTGATATATACATTGGGGACATTTCAACTCTCCTGAGAATTACTACTCCTCCATGTTTTTCCTGTTGCAGTTGGGTTGCCTATGAAAAGCCTGGATTTACAGGGCATCAGTATTTGCTTGAAGAAGGAGAATACAAGGACTGGAAAGACTGGGGAGGTTACAGTGGAGAACTCCAGTCTTTACGGCCTATATTAGGTGTAAGTTAAAGAAAAGCTAATGGCTAATGGTTGGTGTTTGGGGATAATAAATGGCTAGCCTTTGAATTTTGAATTTTTTTTCTCAATAGGATTTTTCAAATGCTCACATGATAATGTACAGTGAAAAAAACTTTGGATCCAAAGGTTCCAGTATTGATGTATTAGGAATTGTTGCTAATTTAAAGGAGACCGGATACGGAGTGAAGACACAATCTATTAATGTACTGAGTGGAGTGTAAGTGAAATAACCCAATCAGGATTTTAAACATCAATTTTACCTTGGTTTGTGCTAAACTTATGCCTTCTCTGACATAGAGAATTAAACTAAACATTAAATCAGTCACTTAATACCAATTGCCACAATATTTCCATAACCACTTTTTAAAACCTTTCTCATAGAATCTTTTTTTCATGTGTGATATAACAGTGGAGTAGGCTTTAGGGTTTTATGATAGAAATCTACAGCCCTGGCTGGTGTGGCTCAGTGGATTGAGCGCCAGCCTGTGAATTGAAAAATCGCTGGTACGATTCCTAGTCAGGGCACATGCCTAGATTGCAGGCCAGGTCCCCACCTGGAGGCACGTGAGAGGCAACCGATCCATGTCTCTCTCTTATATCAACGTTTCTCTCCCTTCCTTTCTCTCTCCCTTCCCCTCTCTCTAAACATAAATAAAAATAAAATCTTAAAAAAAAAAATCTATAAATCTACTTCCCTTGTCATCCTGCATGGAAAGATCTCATGAATTTCTTATGATGGAAATCAAATAATAATAGCGATTTAACATGAGAAACCTGAAGTTGAGACAGAGTCCCATTCCATTTTCTTATGGCCCTACGTCGGCCCCATTATATTTCTTCACTATTCTTTTGACATAAAAAATAATTGTTTCAATGTACCTGGAGTTAGCAAGTGAATGCTTTATTAACACTCAACTAAGTTTTTATTGAAAGATGGTTAATCAAGACTCTTTGGGGTGCAAGGGATAAAAGTGGAATGTACACTTTTATCCCTTGCACCCCATAGTGCAAGCCAAAAGTGGCCTACATAACTGAAATGTCCTGGAGACGATGTTGCTTCGGTCATGGCTGGACACAAGGGCTCAGACTCTGTCATCAGAACTTTGTCTCTCCGCCTTCTCTGTCTCCTGCCTGGGCTTTTTCTGCATTGGCCTCCCATTAGGCAGGCCTTTCCATCTGGTGGCCTCTGGCCTTGGGTCTTCCACCTCATTGCTTCTAGTGAGAAGAGCTTCTCGTTCCCACAAAAGTTCCAGGTGTGACCTTGATCCTGTAGGCTTGAGGCCTGGGCACCTGCCTGAATCAGTCACTACCACCCGGGAGATGGCTGTGGCTCTGTTACGTGGTCTGTTATGTCGTCTCTGGAGCTGACATGTAGGTTTAGTCCCAAAGGAGCCTACATACGGTTGGGGTGAACATCAGACCAAGAAACATCAAAAAGAATGGGCACAAAAACTGGATGCCCCCCGCCCCCAAAAAACAAGTCTATAAATGTCTATTAAAAGGAGTTATACAATTATCCTTATGATCCAGGCTGATGTCAGTTATAATTTATTAAGAATGATGGTATTCTTATATGAAATCATTTGACTTTGATAATATTGAAAGTGCGTGATGCTGGGTTTTTTATGTCATGAGTATTAACACAGGGCATTTGAATCATTCTAATCTCAACACTGTTGTATTTCCCGGTGCCTTCCACAAGAGCCCTGGGTATTTGAGACGTGTCCACAATGTGCTAGGCTTTACCTGTGAGTCATGTTCACCCAGTTCTTGTGTAGTCGTTGATTGTGGCTTCACGTTGGCAGAATGACATCAGGGCCTTCCGGGCCTTCCGTTCTTAACAGAAAATGCTTTCTACAGGGTCCTGTTCTGGAGCCCTAACATTTTAGACTCTGCCATGCATAGAAGGAATGGGATGGCAGAAGACATCCGTGTATTACAAATTGCCTTTAAAGGTCATTATTTAGAGGGAAAATACAGTGACTAGGCCTGTGGGCGCAAACAGTTGTACATTTTGATACTCCCCAGGTATTTGATTCTATTAGTCAGAGCCTAGTCTTGCGCCCTAGAAGAGGAAGCACAAGAGGCTGGGCAGAATTTCCCTGGGGTGTTTATGTAGATTATGCTGTTGCCACAGTAGAATTACCTTGCCTAGAGCCAGTCTTTCTTTTTTACCCAGCCCTTGTTTATTTGAAGTCACTTTCCTTTAAATAATGCTGCTTTTATATGTTTCTATTTTTAGTCATTTCTAGTAGCATTTCCTGGCATAGGCTTTTTTCTGGTTGTAGCAGTTGAGTTTTGGTTTGGGGGAAGTTCAAGGGAGCTTGCGTACGCACACCACTTCCTTTTCAGTTTTGTGGTTGTGGAAAGGCTTCTGTGTTTACCAGGGCCAGCTGCTTCCTCATATCCCATTGGTCATTTGACAGGTATTTATTGAGGTCTATTATGTGCACAGCATTATATTATGTCCTCAGAGAAGTTACAGTATTTATATAAAACATAACTATTGCTACTAAAGACACAGGGATTAAGAGTTTTGGGAATCCACAACAGGGAGATTAATTTCCAGTGTGAGCTCAGGGAGGACTTGGGAGCCAGCCCTGGAGCCGGGCCCTGTGGGACAGGAAGCAGAGATGTGCCAAGGCGTGACAGGGGACAAGCACCTGCTCGTTTGTAATAGTTTCAAAGAAAAACTACTTTAATGACTTTATCCTTCCTGGTAACTAAGCATTTTAGTTTAGTTCTTTATTTCTTAGTATGAAACTCAAAGTCAGGAAAAAAAAACCCTTTTTTTCAGAGTCTTGTTCTGTGGGTGTTTAAGGCAAGTCCTTTAGATAGTAACATTGCAATCTGTTCTAATTATGAAGTCTGAGCAGTGTTTGAGGTATGGCTTGAAAGGAAAATTCCTAGGGCAGGTGGCTATTTGGGTCACCAAGCACGGAGAACCTGGTGAGCCTCAGGAGACGCAGTCACAGGCTCGATCGTGCCTGGCCACCATGTGATTGTGTCACCTCAGACAGGTCACTTCCCATGCAGAACACACACCAACAGATAGTTCCATATGATGCTTGTTACTCATCTGTAAGGTTTTAAGAGCAAGGATTTTGTCTTTTTCATTTTTGCATACCTGGTGCCAGTCTAGTTCTTGGCACATGGTAAATGGCCAATCATTGTTTGTTGAATAAATAAATGAAATAACTTTTCTATGTCTTTATGTTTTTGCTTTTGTAAAATGGGAAAACCAGTACATCCCTAGAGTCCATCACTAATGTGATAATAGATGTGAAAGCATCTGGAAAGTTCTTAGTGTGTATACAAGCATATACATATTATTCCCTTTAGCTGTGAATTAACTGAAGAAGAGACACTTGAATATAACAGAACTGAAACACTTTCTTCCTCTCAAAGACTTTTATCTTTGGGTAGGAAATAGCATCCAGTATACTGGTTTTGTTGATTTCCCTCTCTGAGTGTAGATCACTTAAAAGATAAATGAAAACATTCCAAAGATATTTGGTTTTAGTATTTGTGAGCATTTGTTCAATTTTGCTTATTACATAGCCGTGTCATGTTGAAAATCCTGTCTAAAAAAAATTTTAGTTACTTAGCTATATTTTTACTTTTAAATATTTCTGTCAACTTTTTTTTTCCAGTGTGGTTTGTTGAGTAATAGAGACATAGCTTCCTGTAATACAGGGTGGGGCAAAAGTAAGTTTACAGTTGTGTGTATGGGAAAAATACAATAATTAATAAATGATAACACAAGAATAAACTCTGTGTTTCACTTATTCACAACTGTAAACCTACTTTTGCCCCACCCTGTATATTTCTGGAAGAAAAAATTTTAATGTTGATAACAAAAAGAAGTCTCACTTGCCTATTAAAAGAAATTTGACAGCTACTTCTTGAAAGTCCAAATTGTTTCCTTAGAATAGATTTAGAAAGAAATATAGACATATCCCTATTGGAGCTTTCTCAAGATACAGGATTGGATAAGTGAGAACACCAAAAGGTTTACATAAAGAGACTTTTACTTGTCACTTTGATTTGTCTTCCAGACAAATCAATCTGCCCCTAGAAGATTAATGGAGAATCAGGAAAGCATTAAAGTTGGGGATTAGTAAAAGAACTCAAAGTTTCTGTATGATACATAGTTACTCAAAGGTGTGTGATAGCTTTACTGTATATATAAACTATGAACAAAATCACTGTTTTGTTTCTTTTGTTTCTTTAGATGGGTAGCTTATGAAAATCCTGACTTCACAGGAGAACAGTATATACTGGATAAAGGCTTTTATACCAGTTTTGAGGACTGGGGAGGAAAAAATTATAAGATCTCTTCTGTTCAACCCATATGTTTGGTAAGGAGTTATATTTTTGTATGTAAATATTTAACTGAATTCTGGATTTCCTTAATGTGTGCTCCTGGTTCATGTAATACTTAACACTACAGAAGCTATGCTGATATTATTTTTAACAATAATTGCTAGTCTGGAAGAGAAATGTTTTTTAAGATGTGTGCTCTACTCATTTTCTTCTCTCTTTAAATTTCCTTAGGATTCTTTCAGTGGCCCAAGGAGAAGAAATCAGGTAACTTTTTAAAAAATCCTATTTTTTTATAATTAGGGGCCATCCATTGAAGAACTGAGCTTTCATGTAAAACTTCAGACATTTAAAACTTCAGACATTGGGATATTTTGTTATTTTACCCACTTATATGCCTGAAAGCATAACTGTATTTTTAAATTAGATTTAAATTTCTGCTTGATGGCATTGACCCATAACTAAATATTTTTTATAAAATGCTCTCATTATATAATATTGAAATATATTTCATCATGTTGAATCAGTTTACATGAATACACTAAAATTAGTATTTCAAACAATACATAGTTATTGTGATAATCAGTAAAACAAATTTTCATATTTGCCATACCTGCGTTAGACAAATATTTTATATGGTCTCTCACTCAAGCCTCTGAATGCTGACTGTCTACATCAACTGAAGTGTTACCTTTGTTATTTAGGCTTTTTAATGCAAGTTTTCAGACAGCCGTAATTACAGAGGCGCGAACCCCACTGCAGCCTCCTTTTACTGGCATACACAAGATTCTAATAAGTCAGCAAGTATCTTCCATTGAGAGGGAGGGAAACTACTGTTTCCAAAATATAGTTTCTTGTAAATGTTAGAACTGATGAACCATTACATTGGCCACAATAAAGCTTTAACATGCCTCACAGCTTGTTAGGACAGGCTGCTCTATGGAGCGCTGCCTCTATTGTTGGATTGTTCTTTGATGTCTCTGAATTAAATTAAACAATCATGAGTGGTGCAGCCCAAGTATTCCTATCTGATCATTAATGGAGTAGTAGAAAATTAAAAGGATTTATAAAATTCATATCAGTTTACTGTAATAAGAGTTAACTGGTCGTGTTTGGGTCATCATTTCAAATGCTGATTGTGTTAATGTATTTGCAAAATAATTTTATGTATTTCCATTTACTTTTTCAAAGATTCACTTGTTTTCGGAACCACAGTTTCGAGGTCAGAGTCAAAGTTTTGAAGAAACAACAAGCCAGATTGATGATTCATTTTCTACCAAGTCTTGCAGAGTTTTGGGAGGCAGGTAAGCAAAACAGCGGACTGGCAGAGTCTAATCACGGTGGGGGCGGGGGGAATAGAAATCACACATCAGCAAGTATTTAGCAATACCTTTAGGTGCTTGGTACTATACAAAACCACCCAATAATACAAGACCCTGGAGGTGTTAAAATGTACTTTGCAGCATCAGAGTGCTGGACATCAGACAAGGCGATCGCTGTGGGTTGGAGAAGTTAAAGATTATCTCATGGGATTTGGACCAGGTTCCCTGCTCTCTAGGCCTGTCCCATTGCCCATAAGGGCACTCTGAGTAATCTCTGAGGGGTGGCCCAAGGTAGGCTTTTTCACACGATAGGAGAGCACATGGCTGCAGTGGAGCTGGCGTGTGTGCTGCTCAGGGAGCCTCCGCCCTCTCTAGCTGGGAGGAGGGAGCAAGTCTGGGAGGGTGGAATCAGGCTGTGAAGGCGCCCTGAGCACAGGGGTTTAGATGGACGCCACAGGGGGCAGGGCGGAACGGCAGTGAGCTCACAGTGCCATCCTGGAAACGGCGGTTTTACAAAAGCTCTAGAGAGGGGAGAGCCCAAGGCCAGGAAAACTTGGTCGGGAAACCCTTGGAGCAACCTGTGCCAGAGGAGATGAGGAATTCTAGTGATAATACTAGTAATAGTGCCATTATTCATATAGTTCTTCATGGTCTAAACCACACCATCATATCACTGAGCATGGCAAAGTGCAAAGACCCCAGGCTTTGCATTCAAGTGCGGATTTACAGCAGAGCTTCATTCTTTATCAGCACACCCCTCCGCCTGGTCCAGGTTCCTCCGAATCGCCTACCATGCCTCATTTATTACCATCCGACATAAGCCTTTTCTGTTCATTTATTGTCTGTCTCAGCTCACTGGGAGTGCAAACTTCAAGAGAGCGGGGACTTTGTTTGTTTTGGTCCCTGTTCTATCTCCACCAATGGAAAAATATCTGATACACAATCAGTCCTCAATAAGCATTTTTTTTTAATTAAAAAATAAACAACTCTTCTAGGCAAGCATGTAAATCAGCATTTTACCAATAGTACTGAAGCCCTGAGGGGCTAAGTCACTTAAGTCACGAAGGTATTTTGACTTCTGACTCAGTGCTGAGGTGTAGGAAATGAGGATAAAGGAATGCGAGGGAGATTTGGGGAGGAAGTCGGTAGACCCAGGAGAATGACTAGCTGCGAGGGTTGAGGGATTATTCAGAGAGGACTCCGGGGCTTGACAGCACTCTGCTGGCTGGGACAACGAGGTGCCCACGAGAGCAGGGAGGAATGCCGGAAGGCGGAGAGGTGAACGCAGAAACCATCTCATGGAGAGAGGTTTCGTTCCCAAAGGCAAAGCTAACAACTGACTTAGGAATAATTGTTTGTCACAGGATTGAATGCAGGACCCAGATATTTTTGAAAGAACACTCTTAGCCACAAGCATTGTGTTTATTTTAAAGAAGGGTACCTCTAAAAATCAGACTTCTTGAATAGAAATACTCAAATTGCCTATTGTACATGTGTATGTGGTTTTTCCTACTGTAGCTGGGTTGTGTATGATGGAGAAAATTTCTCTGGTAACCAGTATGTGTTGGAAGAAGGCCACTATCCGAGTCTCTCTGCAATGGGATGCTTGCCTGGAACAACTGTGAAGTGTCTTCGTTTTATAGATGTTGTAAGTATATCCGTGTGAATATAGCATTTCGGAGATGCATGGTTCAGAGGGGATGGTCAGAGAAAGAAACCAGCAGGTGGACCTATTGGGGCTTAAAGTCAGAGGCAGAAAAAAGCAGTTGCATTAGAACTTTCTACCCTGTAACTTTTTGGTCTCTTTTTAGATCTTCAACATATACATTGTTTCTGTTTGCTGTTTTGTTAGGCTTCCGGTGCCGTTTTTAATAATCCTCACCCAAGGATATATTTAACCGATTCTAGGGGGAGGGAGAGGGAGAGAGAGACATCTGTTGCCTCCTGTATGCACCCTGACCCGGGATCGATCCCACAACCTAGCCATGTGCCCTGACCAGAAATCAAACCTGCAGCTTGCGGTGTACGGGACGATGCTCCAACCGACCGAGCCACACTGGCCAGGGCTTCAGGTGCAGTTTTGACTCAGTCATGGCACACAGCCTTCATGGTGTTAGTGCGAGGCCCCTCTCCTATGTTTTTTCTGTTTCATACCTGATCCCTATTTCCATTCCTCCTCCCTTTACAGACACCAGTTCTCCTGTGTGAGATACAGCTTGGAAATCCTTCTAAAGTGTGTGTTTTCAACAAATCTGTACATAGGCTTTTGATTTATATACAGTATTATGCTATAGTTATTGCCTTATAAACATAAATCAATACTTCTATTACAAATTTTTAAGAGTTGTCCATTATGCTGTGTGTACGTCTAGTTTATTGATCCTAACTGGTCCAAGTGATCCATCACCATGTTTTACGTGGTTCTCACCTGTGTGTCCCTGGGGGCCTGTGTGGGAGTCTGTGGGGCCTATGTATTACAGAGTGGGTTCGCTGGGGTCAGCACGTGAATGTGCAGCCTCGCTGAGGGCTGCCGAACTCGACCACTTTAGATTCGTGCTGGCAGTGCATGCGGGTTCATTTTACACCTCATTGCCATGACCAGGTATTCAGACTTTCTAGCTTTTGAAGGAATTGGGTAGAACGTATTATCCCATTGTTAATTTGTATATCACTATTAGAGAGGTTGGTATCTCAAATACTTATTAGTCATTTGGATTTTCTGTTCAGTGAATTGGTTGCTGGTGTCCTTTGCTCAGCTCTTTATAGTTTCTTGTATCTTCTGTTGTTGTTACTGATTTGCAAAAATTCCTTATAATGTTAAAATCTAGTACTCCGTTGTTTTAGAGATTCGCAGTCAAATGATTTCTCCCAGTTTATCACGTATGTGCTAATCCAGATATAGTGCCCCTTTTAGGACATAAGTCTTTAATTTTTATGTAGTCAAAGCAATAAGTCATTAGAACAAAACTGCAAGATAATGTTCAGATGTTAGTCTGAGTGTGTAGTAATGGAAATAGTTTTTGGTAGCCGATGTCCCATAAAAAGCTTTATAAACATGTGTAGTTGATTTTAGGGCTTGTTCTTGTTGATTTTAGTTTTAAAGGCAGAAAGAATATATATGAGTTGGCTTTATCTCATCCTTTCCTGCCTGTTCAAATGATGAGAATGTTGACCATTCTCGAGATGTGAAAATAGTAGCAGTGAAACATGGAATGATGTGGTAAGATTCATTAGCTTACAGATACCACACAAACCACCTCTACACATTAACCTGCCCTGTTTACTGGTCAACAGAATCTACATGTCAGGGCACATTCACATAAATGAAGCAGTAAGTCCACGCCCTTGCCACAAAACTTTAAGCAGGCAGAGAATTTTTGATGTATCATTTATGATTTTAGGATTATTATCATTAGCGCTTAGTCTAGGGTCATAAGGGTCTGTAATTTGAAAATAAATGACAGATTGAACATCCTGTATTTTTCTCTCCTCCTAAGAACATCCCTGCAGGAGAGTATGGGAGCATCAGTGCACAGAGCCAGTCTATTGAGAGTCGCAGCCCTCAGCCGCAAAGGCTGCAGGAGCCCTCCGACCCTTGCCGTTTATGTTCGTAGCTCTCCAGTCGCAGCCCCTCCTCATCCCAACAGAAAATGGCAGGACTGAAAATAAATTCATCAGACGTGTCAATATTCCAGGCATATATACCCATTCCTCCGTGCCTGGGATATCCCCCACCCTTGGTAACACTGCTTACATTTACCTTTCCGTGCACCGGGGAAGCTCCCTGCCCCTCCTTCCTCCCTCCCTTTAGCTTTGGAAGGAACCGCGACCTAGACTTCCTGGGACAGGGAGGTGACGAGAGGCCAGGCCTGCCTGGCCACATCTTGTGCTCTGTCCCTATAACAAGACGGTTTTTGCCCAAGTTAAAATTATAGCACGATCAAAGATGAGTAACAGAACATTATTTTTGTTCCTAAACAGGAATTCTCTGAACCAACCATTATTCTTTTCGAAAGAGAAGACTTCAAAGGAAAGAAGATCGAACTTACTGCAGAAACCGTTAATCTCCGATCCCTAGGATTCAACACGCGGATCCGCTCTGTTCAGGTGATAGGTGGCATGTAAGTGTTACCTCCTTCTCATTCAATAAGAGTTGATTTTAAGAGTTAAGTTTGATCATATTTCTTTCTCTCCTACATTACCTAAAACAAAGTGACATATAACCCCCTATTTTCTGTAAGGATTAATAATGATGCACCTTCATGGTATACTCTTCTCTTTGGGAAGAGCCCTGTGTGAGGCATCTTTCATGTTTTCCTCCAGATTTTTAGTTTACTTAGGCAAGGACTGCCTTTGGCACCTCTCAAAATTCCAAGGGGAATGGCTGGCAAAGCAGTGCTCCGTAAATTTATTGAGCACTTTTTTAGAAAGAGAGAGCTCATTTTTCTTTTCCCTTTGTAAGACCAAGCCCTTTGACTGTGGAACAAGGGCTGGGATTTTCCTTTAACCAGGAGTGACCAGCAGATGCCGTGCACAGTGATTAAAAGTCAATACAGGAAGATTTTTTCTCATACTTTGAATAATTGTGAAGTTGAGCAAGATGTAAAAATGAGTAAGGACTATCCATGTAATAAACATTTTTAAGAAAGTATTTTCCTTTCACTTAAAAACAATAGGTATAGTCTACCTGTATACATCAAATGTTGGAGAGGGCCATAGCTGTTTAGAAAACAATTATTTGGGTGCTAGAATTATTGGTGATTTTTTCCCAGCAGGTTTTAATTGATTTTAGAGTTCCAGGATCAGGAGTCAAGAACATCCCGCCATGATGTAAGAGGCCAGCCAGAGGAGGCCGCTGGGTTGCTCGCATGCCCTCGGGTGCGGGATCCATACTTCCTCCCGTGTGGGCAGTGGCGTCTCTGGGGGACCCGAAGTATCTTTAGCAGTTTTCTGGATTGAGGAAGATGACTCTCATTTTAAACAAAAATTTGAGTTATTTTTATTTAACTCACCCTTATAATAGTACTCACCATATGCCACACACTAAGAACTTCACACATATTTATTTAAATAAAAGATCCATCTTTACCACTGGGAGTGTTTTATGAAAAGCTCACAGGAACACTGGGCTGTCCCGCCGAGACTGTTGCCTCTATTTCATTGCCTTAATGGAGGACAAAACTTGACTATTTCTCCTCAAAAATGGATCTTTTTGACATAACTATGTACCAAGAATTTGCTATTTGTCAAGAAATGAATGTTTTAAATGTTTTAGAAAAAATGGTAGTCAACCCCCCCATGAATATTTAAAATATAAAGCTCGGTCTAAAAATTGGAAACATTCTAAAAGTATAATTGGGGCTCGTTGTGAAGTGGACATGGCCGTTTACTTGTGGTTATCTACTTTCTTTTACAGATGGGTTACTTATGAATATGCCAGTTACAGGGGTCGGCAGTTCCTACTGTCACCTGCAGAAGTACCTAATTGGTATGAATTCAGTGGCTGTCGCCAAATAGGTTCTCTACGACCTTTTAATCAGGTATATTTTTCTTCTTTATGCTTCGAAGAGACTCCTCTCTGATTTTTTTTTTTGGTAAATGTAATTCAACATTTTAGTTTCGATTTTAAGTTTGAAATTTGCCTCTCCCTTTACCACTCTGCATTTCTGAATTTGGGCTGTTTCTGGAGAGTGCTAGGAGGTTGCGACTGCTTTCAGAATTGCTCTCACGCCTGACATCAAAACATGGCGTGTCCCACGCGCTGGGCTGTCCACAGGCAGGCTCCCTGCCCCCGGCACTTGTTTGACATTTCATCGAACTCTTCTCATTGAGAAAATCCTAAAGCCTCTGGAACTCTTGGATATAGTAATTATCCCTAACCCACCCTCACCTTGGATTCTGCCCCTGCTATTGATGTTCATTCAGTGCTTTTAACAGTACAACTTACATACCATCATTGCTGGGCTTTTCTCTTCTAGAAACGAATTTATTTCAGACTTCGAAACAAAGCAACAGGGTTATTCATGTCAACCAATGGAAACTTAGAGGATCTGAAGCTTCTCAGAATACAGGTCATGGAGGATGTTGGTGCCGATGATCAGATTTGGATTTATCAAGAAGGATGCATCAAATGCAGGGTGAGCTTTTAGGATGAGACAAGTCTGTGACAGTACCTTTTAAGGTGATGCCCTTTCACGATTCCTGGGGCACTTTCAGAAATTAGGTTTTTCATAAAAATACTTCTTAGCTCTTATAGAACCAGTCTATGAACATAAAATGAGAGATAAATCTAACACTGATCCAAGACAAGAGTATTTATATCTATACTTAATTTTTATATAGTAATAGAAAATTATATAGTAATTTCTACTAGGTATAGAAATTTACAATAAGCCCCAACATTATGAGCACGAATCACCCTTGGTTTGTTTCCATGTTGGAGGACCTCGGACTAGAATGAAGGGTGAAGAGGTACCACCCTGTGTAAGACACAATCCATTTCCTAATTGTCAACTTGTAAAATGGAAAATGCCCCATCTCCCTCTCTCATCGCTCCTGCCATAACACACATTTAAGGGCAGAATGGAGTAAGATTTTATGAGGACCTCATGCTTCTGTTGTAGATACTCTTTTTAACTCCTTGATTTTATGGGCTTGACTGTTTGCTCCGGGTTTTTTTCCTGAAGGTGGTGTCCCATGCGTCAGCAGAAGGCACAGAGCCTTGTGAAAGGCCTGTTGCTGATCGGGTCTGTTGTGCCTGAGGGAGCGTCCTCCTCCCAGTAAGCAGGGGTGCTGTTTAGACTTGCACAGAAAAAAATAGCAAGAGCTGTAATGGGGAAGCATAAAAAAGCCAATTTCTGCCTTTCAATTATCTGAGACGATTCAGGAAAATGGAGCCTTTCATCAATTATTTCTAACAAATATTTCATTGATGTTTTTCACAACTTTGACTTCAATAGGTCAATGGGAAAAAGCAAAGTTTCCTAGATTATCACAATCCTTTTATCTCGGTGTAGAACAATACAATTCTCATAAGGATTTTCTTTAGCGATGTTAGTGTCATGTGAACATGTGACTAACATACACTGTATATATAAATGGTAGATTCACTTCAGAGGACTCCTACAATATTTGCATGCAAACACACTGTACTGCATTTGTATATTCCTGATAGTTGGATAGCACACCTTTTTAGAAAATTTGACCATTTCTCATGAAGGCAAGAAAAATTAATAAATGGAATTTCAAGCTTTAAAATAACAAAATATCCTTTTAGTCACTTCAGTGCTACAACAGCCTTCAAAACTAAGAGATGCAGCCATATTCTAGAAGGGTCAGGCTGAGCAGAGGTGGCTATGTCAGGGGGAGAGTAACCCACAGACCCAGCCTTAGCATCCATTCACAGGAGAGAAAAGTATCATGATAGGCAGCTTCTCAGGCTTCTCTCCCTCGTAAGACAGAGACTCACAAAAGGCAGAAGTCTCTTACAATGGACAAGAATAGAGAACTTTCCAACACTCACGTCATTGGAACTAAAGGGCCTAACTATTTGTGTTGGATCCAGCTACTCTAGCTAAAAGCTGAAACGCCTCATGTTGGGTAAATGAAGGTAGGCTCTAGTGACTTTAAAAATCAGTTGAACAGGGAACGGATTACAGTGGCATTGGAATGTCATGTCTTCTGCACCAAGCAGATAGCGGAAGACTGCTGCCTGACGATCGTGGGGAGCCTTGTCACCGCGGGCTCCAAGCTGGGCCTGGCGCTCGACCAGAATGCCGACAGTCAGTTCTGGAGCCTGAAGTCGGACGGCAGGATCTACAGCAAGTTGAAGCCAAATTTAGTTTTAGATATCAAAGGTAAGGTTCATCTCCTTTTTTTTAACTAAAAATCTAGTCTTCTGAAAATGGTGAGTGTACTATTATAAATATGAATAGTGAGTCCCTTACCTTGTGTCAACCACTGTGCGAGACACTTTGCATTCTCATGTGACCCTCACACTGACCTCGAGAGGCCTATATTATCCCTTCCTTCCCCTCCCTCCAGTCCCATTTTACAGCCCCAAAAATGAGGCTCAGAGGGGTTAATCCATCTGGCCCAGTGTTGAGGTGAAATACGGACCTGGGAGGTCTTCAAACCTTTTGTTTTATTGTAACAGCAAGAGCCTAAAAACTACGAGTTAAAAGGCTGTGATCTCACTTAGTATGGTTGATGATTCTCATGTTTGTGCATGTAACCTTTCATTGAAAAAATCCAAGATCTAAAAGGAATTAAACAACACAGCCAAGGGGAATTCAACCGATCATGTGCTCAATGAAAGTCCAGGGCCAACTGATGGTGCTTAAGGAGAACAAATAGATTGAGGAGAGTATTTCCCAAGCTTTACCTGCATCAGAATCACCTAGAGGACTGGTGGAAACACAGACAGCTGGGCCCAGCCCTCACAGTGTCTGATACGGCAGGTCTGGGGTGGGGCCTGAGGATTTGCATTTCTAATAAGTTCCCCTTGATAACCTAAAAACAACATTAAACAAAGCAAAACTTTCTGACAAAGACAGGGGAATTCAGTGAACTGTTGTTGCTACTGACAAGCAAATGAAGAAGTGTGTTTTATTCATGTCATATGGGGTAATTTTGCTTTAAATTATTAATGGAGACTTTGTTTCCTATGAGGAAAGCCAACATGATTATGTTTATAAATTTAGTGAAACAGTTGTAACATAGCCTTAATATATCACATACTTTGTTTTTAAAAGCAGCTAGAAAGTTGGCTTAATTTTAATCAGGGCTGTCAGCCAAAGCTGTCATGAAATATTGATATGGGATAAAGAAACAGCTGCTACTTGGTTTTAAAGTACGTTTTCTGGATAATACAGAATAAACCTGAACATTTTCATCAGAGACTTTGGTGACTGCCTGGGGAGCAGGAGGGGGCGTCACTTTGGGAGACCTCCAGGAAATGGAGTGGCCAGCCCACCTAATGAGGGGATATGGGTTCGCAAAGAACCTGAGAGGTTGGAGAGGCGCTCAGAGGCAAACTCAGTTAATGGGGCAAAGGGGGAGCATTTCACTTAGGGAGCACCAACTAAGCAATAAATAACAGGCAGGATGAAATGCCAGGTTAAAAGAAAATAAATGTAACATTTGGAAAGTGAATAGAAATATACCTCCTTCACATTGCATGAGGTACAAGACCTGTCATTTGTAGACAACCTGCAGATGATCAGTCTGAGGTCCAAACTGGTTAAGAATCACTGAACCAGAACTTTTCTTTATTCTTCTTATCATCAAATTGTTGGACTGGAGCTTCTCTGTCTGTACAAGGCATTTTCAAAACCTCCAGAGAAGCCAAAGAGAAGTGACTAAACTGGAAATGTGGATTTTTTTTTTTTTTTTAAACAAATGTGATCAGCTTCTTCTGTCTGGAGTTAAGGTCACTATAATCCTTATGAGCTAATTTCATAGGGCATTTCTCCTTTTGTTCTTTCAACATTTATCGGGTACCCACCATGTGGAAGGCTCAGAGTGGAAAAAGAAAGCACACTACCTTGGCTTCAGAGAGCTTACATTCTAGCAGTGCCAGGCATGTAGGACCTTTTCCCACTTGCTACATTAACAGTTGACCAGGGGTAAGGATACCTGGTTTCTAGTTTTGACTCTGACAAGTACTGTGGAACCCTAGGAGGTTCCTTCTTAGGGCTTAAAGTCCAAAGTCCCTTCCTAAGATGCATTGGAATCAGTCAAATGCCTCCTGAGTAAAGATAATGTTCTGTGTTTGTGTACTCAGTGTATCTAGTATGATAGCTGCATTACTCATTTAATGGCTTGTCAAACTGGATTTAAATGTCTCAGGATGTGGAAGAATGGTGCCATCTTGTGGACATGAGCAGTAGGGCCACATATCCCACATGCAGTGCAGAGGAGATACAACTGCATCCCTCTCTTTGGTGCACTTAATAGGAAACTATGCGTGCACACTTTAATGACATCAGATGTCTGGGATGATTTTAATTCTCCCCAAAGGCAGAATAATGAATCAGATTATTTCTCAAGAACTTTGTAGTCTTCGTGATTCTAATTAGAATTATGCTGTAATATACACAATAATTAAAATATGTGCTATAATCTTGAATGAAAAAGACATTGTGACCTTAAGATAATTAACACTTCCTGAAATCTCAGTGGACACTGTGGGGTTTACATGTGGTAGTAACATTTTTTTCCATAGCAAACTTACACATAAAAGGCCCAAGGTTCATTGCCCTTGTATTCTGTCCTATACCTAGCTGTGCAGAGACTCTAGGTTATTGAGGATTATATGCCAAATTCATACAAGGGGAATGCTGGATAAGAGAGGATTTCTTTACCCACCTACCAAGATCTATTGGGTCAGTTATCAGATCTTTTGGATACTTTGTAAAAACAGAATAAGGACATTTAATTCTTCTTAGTTTGAGACTGCAGTATGATTTCAGTACCAGTCCCACTTACCCTGAATCCAGACGAACAAATTTTTATTTTGATGGAAGTCCTTAGTGTTACAACTTTGGTGCAGACTTATGCTAGACTTACGACTGTTCTGTACACCAAAAGTTTGTGGGTTGGTTCAATTCCCAGTCAAGGCACATACCTAAGTTGTGGGTTCAGTCCCCAGCTGGAGCATGTATGGGAGGCAGGCGATGATGTCTCTCTCTCTCTCAAATCAATAAACATATCCTGGGGGCTGGGAGAGAGGGGTGATTAAAATAAAAAAAGAATAAGGTATCCCTGAAAGGATGTTTATTCCACAGAGGGAAAAATACTCAGATGGCCTTTTTGTTAATTCTTCTCCATTGAAAGCAAGCCAGGAGACTTTTTAACACTAAAGTATCTGAACAATCCACTAGGCACCCTTGGAAAACAAAGTTACATACATTCTAGTGAAAGGGAGTTTATGGAGACCATACTAGTAAAACTCAGCATCTGAAATGCTGTGAATTTTGATACACTAAAGACTGTATGTGTGGGTGTCATTCAGACCCCCCCCCCTTTTACCTAATGGTGCTATTTTCATTCTTCATGCAAAATCTGTTCCATTTGACAACCATTCCACTACTGCCAGGTCTGCCTGTTTTTTTCCTCACTGGTATCGAATCCATGATCCTGCCCATGAATATATTTCACAGTCTCTTTGCTTCTTTTCCATTCTTTAGATTCTTCCCTGTTCTCCCCCATTTCAGACATCTTACAAGTGCCTGGGGACTAGGTTTTAAGACTTGAGTAGGAAAAGGAGCCCCAGCAAGTAGGAAATCCCTTGTGGAGTTGCTGGTGCCCTTGCCCCGGGACCGTAACACATTCACTCACAGCGACAGACCCTCTGGGTCACGGGTGCGGTCCGTGGTTTTACTCGAGTCACATGGCTTTCCACCTTGGCTACTTTCACTTCAGCTGTACTGGTGTTAGAATAAACCATGTCTGCTGCAGCCCCTTCCCTGGGGACACGTTTCCATTTATCATTTTCCTTTTCCTTTTTTTCAGGGGGTGCACAATATGATCAAAATCACATTATCCTCAACACTGCCAGCAAAGAGAAGTTAACACAAGTGTGGGAAGCCATGGTGCTGTGAACCCAAAAAAGGACGCAGGAGGCACGTTTCTGGAGGTCTCCCCGCTGCGCAGGGACCACGAGGGAAGCGCCAAGCTCTTCCCTCTGAGGGAAGCGGGAGTGCACCCTCAGTGACGCTGACTCCCATGGCCGGGCCAGACACTCGTCTCACCTCGTCAAGGCTCTAATAGTTATAAACCGATTACCTGTTCTTTCACGTCTTGCCTTTCATTTCCTTTCAGCAGCTGCTTAAGTTAAACAGGTTGCCTCATTAGCAGCTTTTGGGTGGTTTGAAAAAAATATCTCAAGACTTTAAGACTACATACATTTTAAATTATTTCCAAAGATAGTAGGAGAGAACAGGAACAAATTTCCCAACTTTGTGGACCTACAAATCCCTTACACTTTAAAGGAAAGTATAAAAGCTTAGGTTTGTAAGGTAGAAACTGTTTAGCATCTGAGAAGAAATTACGTAGTAGGCCTATAGTTTTGGTTCTTGACCTTCTGTTTTCTGAAATCATTAATTATGCTGTATAGCAAAGTGGGGAATTATATTCAGGCACATTTTATGGAACTGAATGAGTATAAACAAAAAACTTCTGTTAATATTAAATATTAGTAAATTTAAAAGATTTCATGTCCATGTCTGCTTTATTAGCAGGATTGGAATTATTTTAACTCTCCCATGGGCTGCCCTAGAACGTCCCAAATGAGTGTTGTTTAATGCTTTTCTTACAAATGCTACTGGAACAGTACTATCCTGACCCAAGTTATTACCCGTCCTCACTCGTCTGTAACGAGTTCGGAAGCAGTGCTACGCAGTCCTTTGCTACACTCAGTTCCCTGCACTCCTAGCCAGCGGCCCTGGCAGGAGGCCTGAGTGGGGCCCCCTCGTCCGGAACGCTCCACAGCCATGTTCTGGGGACAGCCTCGGTCTCAGGGCCTGGCACCCTCCGTGGCCGCTTGCTTTGGATGGCTGAAACGAGGTGTGGAAGGTGCAGGAGGGTGACCAGCAATTCTCTTCTGAAAGTGAAGGGAAGGAGGCCTTAAGTGATGCTTGTTGGTCAAATCTTAGAATGCGGAAAACCCTAAATTTCAGCCAGCATTTCAATGAAAATTGAAAATGTTTAACTGCTGACAAAGGACTGCCCAAATCATACGGTGCTGTTTAAACAGTGCACAGTCATTTTGAGCAAAACTGCTAAACAATCCTTGAATGTACTTTTCCTCTTTCTGTCCTCATCTTGTCCACGTCACTGAGTGCTGGTGCTCTTGTCACAGGAAAAACAAATCTCGTTTCCTTTTTATTTGTTCCAGTGTTTCCAATTCTAAAATGTTGATCCTCTCTGGAGTCTGTAGAGGCAATATGGTCATCAGAGTAGTATCTTCATTTTAAAGTAGTTTGTACGTGTCCAACAGCAACCAACATGTCTGTCTAGTCCTTAGATGTAAAGCTCTGATTTCCGGCTTTTGTGCCTCTCGTCACAGTCTGGTGGGGTGAGTCATTCTACAGTAGCATCTGTTGAATTTCTCTTGAATAAACTTGTTTCTGGTTGACTGTATTGGTAAAATCGGATAGAGCCCTTTCGGTAGCCCTCTTCACACCTCAAAGAGAGTTGGCAGCAGATTAGAAACAGATGCCTGACTGATTAGGACAAGGCACATTTCAGAGGCGCTGGAATGATGGCGGGAAGGCCTGCCGACGGCCCTCCAGACCCAGCTGTGAAAGTGCGCACTGAGGTGGGGGGTGCACGTGAGGCTCTGCTTTGAGTTTTGCCCCACTACCCCCTGGGAGCCCTCAAGGGAAAAGAGCTGAGGCTGCTCAGGTGGAAGTCAAAGAGGCTGTATTTACAATGGAAAAAAAACAGTCTTTTGAAATAAATTTGTAGTGGTGAAAACAGCAATTCCACAGAAAAGCCCTCATCCAACACACTACTAAATGAATGTCTAGCAGGAATAAACCAAGTAGAACATTACTACTCAAGAGCTAAACGCAAGTGTCTTAGGTGCAGTAACGATGAGTGCACTAGGATATAAACATTCCCCTTCAATGGATGAAGGGCAGACTACAGATTCAAAAGCCACAACAGGCCCTGACCGGTGTGGTTCAGCGGGTTGGGCGTTGTCCTGCAAATCAAAAGGCTATCAGTTTGATGCCTGGGTGCACGCCAGGTCCCTGGTTTCGCGGTGTGGGAGGCAGTTGATCGATGTTTCTCGCCCTCTCCTTCTCCCTCCTTCCCTCTCTAAAAATAAATAAAATCTTTTAAAAAAAAAAAAAAAGCCTCAATAGGCTTCTAGGTGAAATACCTAAATGCAGGCATTAAGGTCAGAAACTGGAGCACTTTGGGCCCCCAATGGAATGGTGGTAATTTCCATGGAGAAGTCCTCAGCGACGCATGTTTCACTGGTTGAAGGAGGTATATAGCTCTCATACAAAACATAAGGGTTTAAAAAAGTTAGAAACTTTAGCATCACTGTTCAATTTCTAAGACAGTAAACAACCAAATCAGCAACCAGATTTTTATATATGACGCTAAGAGATTCAGAACCCTGAGGGCTGCTATGACCACAGTAGAGCAGAGGAATAAAAATCAAAGGAAGCCTCGGCCAGGTAAGAAAGTGCTCACTGACGACTCCAAGAAGGAGCCAGCTTTAAGGGAGTTGTTCCTGCTGCCGCCCCTCCATACCCCCAAAAGTTTTAGTATCTCACTAACATTATAATAGTAAAATCAGTTTAAGCTATTGGGACAGAAGATGTCCCAGCAATTTGCAAATCGGGCGTGAAAGAACAGCTTGAAAAAAACATATCCAATTTTCACTGACTTTATAGACAAGTCCAAGTGAGGCTATTTTCTATCACATCTGACTTGTGTATACCTTGTGCCTGGCACAGAGCACAGGCCTCTCCGCACACAGGGACACGGGGCTGTGTTGAGCAGGTTACTCGGAAAGTGCTCTGGGCGGGACGGTGTAAAGTACAGGGCACAGGGTGGTGCTGTGGCTATAAATCAGTCTCGGTGCTCAGTTTAGAAGAGGAAATTACTGGCAAAAAATTTGGTGGTTTTTTTTTTTTTTTTTAAACTTATATCATGGAACTTACAGTTTAATTTGAAAAGGCATGGCTAGAAAAAAGTTTGGGCCCACAGTCACTCACCAAACAAGACCCAATAATCACCAAACAGTATTTATTTAAATGACATTAATTACAGTCTTTCCTCGTGCGTGTCCTCCTTCCACCTTCAAAAAGGCTTCTGGAACTTCAGAAAAAGGAAAGGTTTTTTCAATAACTGGCTGAATCTGCAAAACACAAGAAGAGGTTGACTGGTACATAAGAAAACCTACATCTATGACGGCAGATAATCTCCCTAACTAGCTTCTTCACTGAGACAGACCCGGCCCCTCTGGGGTCTACCTGTGCATCTAAGCTGGGAGCCCACTGCCAGGCCAGGACTGCTGTGACCGCTGGCCCTGCGCCTGCCACCATCCGCCTCTCCTCTCTGTAAGGCAGCCCAACTGCACTGCCGCCCCGGCCAACCTCTGCTCCGCGCCGGCCACATCACTCTCCTCCTCAGAACCCTTCGAGAGCTCCCAAACCCGGCATTCGAAGGCCACCGCCAGCCCAACCTCAGCCCTCATGCAGACTCTGCGCGCCACCAAAATGGTCTGCTTGTCACTGTGTGGAGGTGATGTTTGCTCCTCTCCTCTGCGAATTCCACCACCCTCCCTGCCCAGCCCTCACACTGCCCTTCCTGACCTCCCAGTTTGCAGTGTTCTCTCTGAACCGCTACAGGACCCACGGGGTCCTCATCACAGACGCGTGTTCCACGCGCACGTCTCACCCCCACTGCTGTGCATGGTAAATACCAAAGTGGGCGTCCCCAGGTTCTCGCTGTATGCGCCCTGGTGGCCCCCGCACAGGCAGTGCACACAATGAGGACAGATTTTTTTTTTTTGTTTAAATTTGTTAAATGTTTGGATATGTCCTCGGCCAGAGTTTAGAGTTATCTGTGGTATAGGCCACCTCTTTTGTATCCTCAACAACACCCAGGTCAATGCTGGGCATGTGGCAGGGGCTTAATAAATATCACTTAATAATCTATGATAAAGAGGAAAGGATATACAATGGGGTAAAGATAGTTTCTTCAATAAATGGTGTTGGGAAAACTGGACAGATACATACCAAAAAAAAAAAACAAAAACAAAAACACAAAGACTAGACCACTTTCCTATACCATATGTAAGAATAAACACAAAATGGGTTAAAGATTTAGTCTACGGCCATACCACCCTGAATGCGCCCGATCTCGTCTCAAAATGGGTTAAAGATTTAAATGTAAGACCAAAAACCATAAAACTCCTAGGAAAAAACATAATAAACTCTTTGAAATATCTCTTAGCAATATTTTTTTGGATATATCTTCTTAGGCAAGGGAAAGAAAAGAAAAAAAATAAACAAGTGGGACTACACCAAACTAGAAAGATTTTGCACAGCAAAGGAAACCATTAACAAAACAAAAAGACAACCTACTGAGTGTGTACCAATGTGCCAGTGATACATCTGATAAGGGGTTAATACCCAAAATATATAAGGAACTCATACAACTCAACACCCCAAAAACCAAACAATTTGATTTAAAAATGAGCAGAGAACCCAAACAGATATTTCTCCAAAGAGATCATACAGATGGCCATTAAATAAAAAGATGTTTGATGTCGCTAATCATCAGAGAAATGCAAATGAACACCACAAAGAGACACCACCTCACACCTGTCAGAATGGCTGTCATCAGTAAAGCAAAAACAAGTGCTGGGGAGGATGTGGGGGACACGGAACCCGTGTGCACTGCTGATGGGACTGCAGACTGGTGCAGCCACTGTGGAAAACAGTATGGAGGTTCCTCAAAAAATTATAAATTGAACTACCATATAACCCAGCAATTCTACTTCTGGGTATTTATCTGAAGAAAACCAAAACACTAATTCAAAAAGGTATATGCACCCCTATGTTCACTGCAGCGTTATTTACAATAGCCAAGATGTGGAAGCAGCCTAAGTGTCCATCAGTAGACAGCTGGCTAAAGAGAAAATGCATATATACAATGGACTATTACTCAGCCATAAAACAGAATGAAATCTTGCCATATGTAAACAGCACGGATGGAACTAGGGGGTATTATGCTAACTGAAATCAGTCAGTCAGAAAAAGACAAATACCATACGATTTCACTTATATGTGGAATCTAAAAACAAATGAATAAACAAAACAGAAACAAACTCAAAGACCCAGAGAACAAAACTGATGGTCACCAGATGGGATGGGAGTTGAGAGGCCAGGTGAAAAAGGGAAGAGAGTAAGATGTAGAAATTGGCAGTTATGAAAAAAAAGTAAAGTACAGCATAGGGAATAGAGGCAATAATATTGGCATAACTATGTATGGTGTCAGATGGGTACTGGAAATACTGGGGTGATCACTTTGTAAGTTACCAATATACATCTAGTCACTATGTTGTATCCTTGAAACAAATATAATATTGTATGTCAACTGAAATTGAAAACTAAAAAATATTTTTAAAAAGAATATAGGAAAGTAAAAGACATGGTTAATTAATAAAGAAAAGCTTTTTAATATCACTTAGGTGAAAACCAGCATGACAGCTGGGAAGCACGAGTCGTGTGCGGGCACTGCGGGCTTGCGGAGAGCTGCCCGGCTGGGAGCGCCCTGCGGGACTTCGCTGCAGCGGAGCGGTCGGTCGGCATTTACAGGGACGCCCCCTCAGCCAGTTCACCAATGCTTGAGTGCCATCTTTACCACCCTATTCATTCGAACTGCCAAACACCTCCTTCTGAAACTAGGTCCCAGTTAGCACCCTTCCCCCCATGCTGAACTCCACCTTTTCAAAGCTTCAAGCAAATCGTCCACAGTGGACTATCCCCCACCACCCCACGGGCAGGGGTAAGTTGTGAGAAGACATGAACCAACACACGTTTTCTGACCTCTCCTTTTACAAGAGGAACCGGTGTTCTCGAGGTGTTTGGGTGCACTGATGTACCTTTCTCTTGTGTGAATTTCACAGCTCAGCCACCAGAAAAGCACCTCAGACTCCAAAAGTTCCCTTCTCCAAAGAGTTGAAAATTCCTTTGTACCCACACATCACAATAAGCTTGTAATAAAAGTCACAATAAGCTTGTAATAAAAGTAATGAAGTAATATGTGCTTCCTCATTGTGACAGATGCTCTTTTGAGTGCCCATATGTATAGTTTACCTCATTTGATCCCTATAACTACCTTATGAGATAGGTACTATCCCATTTTAGAGATGAAGAAATTAAGACACTGAGTTAAGCAAGCTGCCTGTCACATAACTGTCACATGAGAAGGCATAATTCAATCGACGGCCAGAGTCTGCACTCTCGGTGCTACTCGCTGTCTTTCATGTCTCACCGGCCGCTTTCTACATCTGCTCCTAAACCTCAAGGCAGGGGAAAGGCAGCCAAGGGTTGTAATGATTTATCTCAGCCTGGATCTTGGCCTGCCTTGTGCTACGGGACCATGCCAGCAGAGGATGCAGTCTCTAAGCCCTGGGTCCAGGCCACTGAGATGGCAGGTGGTACATAAGCCACCACTTGCACCTGCACCTAAGGGGGCTGTCCCTGATGAGTAATCATGGTCCCCCCACAAGCTGAGTATGACCTCAGAATCTTCCTCAACGCTGCAGCCACTGTGAACAGATCTGAGCAGGCTTGTGAGACAAAACCTATTTGCCTTCTCTACTAAAAGAACGGGATGCACTCAAGTTGTGTCCTGCATGTCCCACATGAAACCTCTGGAATCCAGCACTCTTTAAAGCTCCTGGGACATTGTTTTCCGGATGCTGATTGCCTGAAAAGGAATCACCCGAATGCACGCTTAAAATACGGAATCCCTGGTCTCAGAACTGGATCAGAATCTCTAGGGATGAGGTGGAGACAATACGTTTAATAAGCCTCCCAGGTGAGTTTTCTGCACACTAGCGTGGGAATCACTGTAGCCTTCTGCCCTATTCTTAGGGTCCCTGACTCATATCGTACACATATTTATTCATTCCACAAAGACTGACTGTGTTCCAAGTGCTAGGCACTAATCCAAAGCAGGTGCACAAAACAAACACCTGAGAGAGAAGTCAAGAAAAGAAAGGAGGCAATAACACCAACTTGTTGTTGAGCCCTGGACACCAGTCACAAAACCAACACAGCAGCAGCGTTACCAGCGGCCACAAAGGACCCCTGAATCCACCTGCTCAGCTGCGGAATGAACTGCCCTGGCTCATGAAGCTGTGTTCACTTTAGAACTCTGACAGGAGGCCCGGTCCAGAGCTGATGACAGAGGCAGCCTGCAGTCACTGTGCCCTTTAATCTGGCCGGTTGGCCTGTTGTGGCAAATAACCCCAGAAGGCTGACTGTGGCATAATGAGTCATTCAGCTCTTCCCACAGGGGTCAATGAAAAAAGGGACTTTCTATTACCAGGCAGGCAAATGCCAACGTTGGCTGAATATGTGACAGCAAACGGAGACTAATGGGATAATGAGGCAGTGTCTGCGTGCAGCCTCGCATCGGACCCACAATGCTTGTTTGTTAGGGACAAAGGGATGAGGAAAAAACGGAGGGGAAGAAAGGTGACTCCCAGTGAGGTGGGGACACTCATGTGATGACACTGCTACAGTCACCCCGTTCAGGGAGCCCTGGTACAAAGCAGGGGGGCTCCACACCACATCTCCCGCTGCTCACGGGGCTCGGAGCTGACCAGGCGACACACGCCAGTGGCAGTGGCACGCATTCCAGCCTTAGACCCAAACGTGGGGCCTCCTGATTGTGCCTCACCTTCCTGAAACAGAGGCTGTAGAAAGCCAGGGCCCAGGGTCTGGCACTTGTTGCCACACACCCCTTCTAAGAGAAGACGGGGGCAGTGGGAACCTCAGCCTCTTGTGTGGCCTGGCAACGCTGATGCTTACCAGCCGCTGGGGGAGCATCCTCGCCTCTGAGGCAAAACCCTCTCTGCCCCTTGAGGGGAGGAGGAAAGAAAAACCCTCTCACCAGAGCACGGCAAAGCTGGTGGAGCACAGACGTCATCCAGACAGGTGGGGCAGAAGGCAGAGAGGCTTTCCCTCAATTCCCATTTTCCAAGAGAGAATTACAGAACAGTAGAGTGTAAAAGGCATCTAAATACTAAGCGAGACTATTTGACAGATTGGGAAACCAAACGGCAAGTGGTTAAGTGCTAAGTGCAGGGTCAGAGCTGCCGGCAGAGGAGCCACTGTT